TTTTCGTTTTAGTAGGTACAAGTGCAAGCTCATCTTTTTTCAACCAACAAGAGTGATTCTGGGCGGGCATGTTGAGTTCTCGAGTGATTTTGATGTTCGTCTAAGGACCGGATGAGATTTACGCAGCAGCTGTCAAAATCAAATAATTTGTCACCTGATTTTGATCCCATACTTCCTTGAAATAAATTACCAACGTTTCAAATATCCCCTTAAAACAAAACTTGTGATATATATTTTATCATCATCAATTCAAGAGATCTCACACATTGATACAATCGTATCGCATTAGTTGTTCCAAACTTCAACCAACACATGCATGATAAGCTAAAACATCACTTTCAAAATACCCCAACCATTTGGTTGAATAACCATTTTGTGTAAATAAATAAAATAACCCTAGCTCGATACATCCATTTCCATAAACCGATTCTTTCCTCCATCCTTCACGTATAGAAAATGCAACCCACAAAAAATTGGAGGAGAATTAAGTTACGTGGTCAACAACCCCTTTCTTTCAAGAACATTTCCTCGAACCACTCCTTCTCCCCATTTTTGGGCACATTCGAGTGCTTTCCCACCACAACCATGAACCATCCCATTTCTTGACTTGCCCTAGCTACAACGGTCTTTTTCTACATAATATATTCTTTCAAGAAAGTGGGCGGATTTTGGGTTTTGCCCAAATCCAATATCTGGAAGAGGAAGAAGATAAGAAAAGTTGCATGAATAATGAACCCCACCAAAGATTTTCCTTACTGGATAACGCATGAAACCACTCCATCGGCTGGATCGAGCCAAAAGAATAGTAGTAAATGGAGAGGAGGACCAATTTCACAAGTTTGGAACTTTTCATGGAGTTTTGTTTGGCCACGTTTGCCCTAGTTAGAGAGAGAGAGAGAGAGAGAGAGAGAGAGAGAGAGAGAGAGAGAGAGAAGGGAATAGCCAATGAAATATTAATTAGGGCAAAACGTGAATGGCTATGTACATATCTTGGTGCGAAAAAACATCAATATCGACCAAATCTTGAAATCTTCACACATGATATATATCCTTTTTGTTATAATATTATTAATGCCCCATCGTTATCTTCTTCATAGGGGTCATGTTTTGATTCTAGGGCATGAGGCGCCATCGACGACAAGGAAAAGTTTGGGATGGAGAGATGATGATATATAATAGTGTTTTTTTTTTATAATGTTTGTGATGAGGGAACATATTATATGTGTATACACAAAGTTCATGGTGTTTCATTTATATGTAATTTCGCGTTATTGTAATAAGTGGTAAGAGTCAAGTCGCTCGAGTGATATGTGCGTGTTACAAGTTTGTTGTTAAGGGTGGTATTAGTCATTTCAATAACCGAATGTTCAATCGAGGTTATTTTCTTTGTAACGGTGAGATGTATATGTACGATATGATCATACTATGCATAGTTTCTCTTAACGGATTCAACTATATTGGAACAGAATGATTCTTGTTTTTATGCATGTTAATAACCATAAAAATAGCTAGGTAGTCTCCAATAATTTTACGAATGGAGAGATTTGGTGGATCGGTAATAAACAGAGCTTATTAGGGTGGTGATTATTCGTAGTTTACACATAAAGAAGTTGTGATAAATACTGTTTACAATAAATAGTTAATTTAAGCATAAAGATTTATTACAGCTTTGCGTGATTTGACATTTGAGTGCGATAATAACCTGGCTCAAATTAAATATTCTAGCTAGTTAGGTAAAACCTCTACACACTTTTTCTATTGTCGTGAAGTGATGATAATTCTAATTCCAATCTTCTTACGATAGTAATCGAGAGATGTATAATATAAAACCAGAAAGACTTGATAAATCATTCTTTACCATATATGAATGGAAAAAATTGGATACCAAAAAACCACTCCATCAAAGATTCTGATCCGGAAAAGACTTGCAAGTAAACCGAGTTGCTTTCAATTCAGATTTTCTCCAAACCAGTAGCCATAGTTATCTCCTCCAGATAAGGATATTAGGTTTGAACTTTTTGAAGAGCCAGAGTTATCAACTTTTGACCAATTCGTAGAAATACTTTTCTTCCCCTTTCCCCCATTGAATTGTGGAGAGCTCTAATTGAAGAGAGTCTTTGTGGCCTGCTGGAGTAGCAACTGGCAGGCATGCATTGTCGGCTGCTGCTGCTGCCACCAAAGTTGGCACCAACCCATGAATATGGCTTTGATTATGATTCCCCAAAATTAGGGTTTTCTTCCCTTTTGTGCAATTCTCCCCCAACTATAACGATAATTGGTTGCTGCTGTTGTGCCCTACTAGATGGTCAAATGTGTGCTGATATAAGCGAATATTAGGCCTTTACCAACAGCCACCCTCTCTTGTTTGACTTCTTTTCTTGTTGTCGTTGTTGTTGGGAGAAATAGGGGGAAAGAAAGAAAAGGTGCCAAAGGAATTATCCCAAAAACTCCTAAGTGGATAATGTATGTGGTTGATAGAAACTAGAATTTAGTCATTTTCATTAATTATCGGATTATTATTATTTTGGATTATTGGGACTATTTTGGGAATTGAAAAATAAATTATATGTCGGGTAGTGATAGGAAATTATCCAATATTATATAAATAACTTGTAAGTGGAATTAGACCACTAAGCAAGATTAAACCTAAACCTACTGTTAATCTCCTCCCCCTCTCTATCTCTCTTGGCCGCCGAGCCCTCCCACTTCCCTTCTCCTTTGTTGCCGACGGCAGCAGCCTCTTTTCCCTCCTCTTCTCTTCCTCAACCCCAAATCCAATCCCCCTTTCCATTTCCCAAATCCTCGGATCAATTAGGGGTGGGCATTCGGTCGGTTCGGTTCAAACCAAACCGAAATAATGTATACCGGGTTTTCGAGTTCCATCAAACCTCAAACCGAATTCGAACCGAATTATAATTCGGTTCGGTCGGTTCAAACCGAATTATAATTCGGTTTTGTATGAAAAACCGAAATTGTGAGGTTAGCTTGTATTTTTTCTCTTTCAAATTATTTTTCACCCCTAATGTAAGCAATAAATATGCAATTAAATGCATCATCAATGATAAAATCAAACATTTCAACACATAACTCATAAAACACTAACATAATTCAAATATTTAACTCTCATAATAAGTACAAACATAAAAATTCACCATTAGAAACTTGCAATTATAGTAATTCGGAAATTCGGTTCGGAATTCGAAAATTCGGTTCGGTCGAAAGGACCTTGGTTTCCGAAATATACCCTTTTCTCTTCCGAATTCCGAACCAAAGTAATGTTATTCGGTTTCGGTTCGGTTTGAATTCGGTTCGGTTTTACCGAACCGTATGCCCACCCCTAGGATCAATCCCTAGTTGATCCTAATCCCTAATTTCCAGGTAGAGCTCGACTTGAGTTCTATCAGTGGTTCCCCTTTCGAGATTCTTCCGGTTGTAAAGTTACACAAGCCATTTCTTTTCTCACGTTTTTATATCCGAAAGGATTTGAAAATGAAAGAAAGATATGATTTTTAATATTCACAATATTTTGATGAATTGGTTGATACGGGATATCAAGGGATATCAAGGTCTTAAAATCGAGAAGTATTATGTATCAGATCCAAATAGATCTTATGTTGATAGTTAAGCACAGAGATCAATTTGGTTCGGTTGGGGGGGTCGAACCATTGGAATATAAGATCATACAAAAAACTGAAAGGAAGATGTAATATAAAAAAAAGATGTTGATGATCTTGAACAAACCAACACGAAGCATCAATCGTATGTAGTTCCCTCTAAATATCTTGGTTTGATTCGATGTGGGTAGAACCAACCAACCATACCAACCCATGTCAATTTCAAATTTGACCCCATACTTTAAACATCAACCAGGTACAGTTCCATCTATATATCTCGGTTTGATTCGATGTTGGTCGAACCAACCTATGACAATTTCAAAATTTACCCCCTACTTTGACAAAACGATCAACGAGAGGTTCCATTGTTATCCAATCGAGAGACTAGATTGCGTATCCAATTGAAGCTATATATGTACTGGCAAAAGAAAGGTTTGGATCTTAATAACTTTGTACAAGTCCAACCTGTCAACCTAACATAAATCTTGTCACGAGACTAATTATTATCCACAAACCAAACCAAACCCTATAACCAGGAGGACAGCCAGCCATGCATGCCAGCAATATTTGCCGGCCAACTTGGGAAGTAAACCGTGTTACCTTTTTTTTTCTGCAGCATTCACAGCTTTTTCTACCCCTTGCCTTTCACTTGTTTGCCGCTGACTTGCAGGCACATTCTCCAGACTCAAATTCATGTTTGGTTGGTGTCGAATCTGGGGACAGGTGCGAATGCCAATTGAAGGATCGATTCTGGGTCGAATGGATTTGTTGCTCTGATACGTTCTAGGACTTCGTGGGTAGATCGCTTTGATTAACTGATCGAATAAGTTCACATGTTTTCTTACCCGCGGAAGACTTATAGATTATCATCCATGGCTTGGATACCTTTGCTGGTGTTAAGAATCGATATTGTAGGCTCAGATCACCTCACTAACAAAAGAGTTCGACAAACTTAAACGGGATGACCATTTTGTTACAAATCAAGTAGCTCAGTTAGCATTTTGTTACAAATCCCATAATCCAGTGACCATTTAGACATTTCATCCTGCAAAAAATCTTCTACCCTGGATCCATCATGATTCTCAAAACAGTAAGTTGCCAACCTTATTTACCTTCCCTTTTATGTTGTTTTTTCCTTTATGGCATTAGACAGCTAGCTTTTGAGGTGTTGAAAAGTTCACTTCTGGGACCATTCATAACTCACCACAAGCAAGGTATCAGAAAAAGGAAACATGATCCCCCACAAGTTCTGAGGAAATGTTAAATTTGCCAGTAATGAATGGTACAATGCTAGTAAACACCGGGGGAAAAGATTATACAGTTTCCAGCTGTGTAATGAAGCGGCAGAATTTCGCAGGCAGAGATAGCGAACAAGTACTTCGACAACTATCGTATGAAAATATGGAAGATGGCATACAGGTATCCAGCCAACTGAAGGGAGAAACAACTCAGTCAAGTTAAGAGAGTCAAATCCAGATAGTGTAAGGATTAAAGCATGAATAATAATGACTGACCTGTTCTATCATGGTCTTTCCAGAGTAACCTTCAATGAGCAAACCTGCTGTGAGACCTATCATCGCCCATGCTCCATTGATTGCCTCGATTTCACGCGTTCTCTACCGAGATTAGATAATCCCAAAGAGTAATCAGTTAAAGGGTAAACATGCTGCAGCATGGTAACCACTAACCAGTTACTGTCAATTATCAACAATCACCTTGAGTCTCTCTTTCCTTCGAATTTCTACCATTTGCTTTGCAGCTAATCGCTTTGCTTCCGCTGGATCCACCATGATCACCTCTCTTTTCGAACTTCCTGATACCTGCATAAAGGATTGGCAGAATTTTGTTCAAAATTCTAGAATGTAGTTTGTGACCTTTATTTGCAGAACATAAGCTCTGATACTCATAACTCTAAGGGAATACGGGCCTATAATGCTATCACACAAAATGTTTGCTAATCTACAGAATGGAGAGCAGCTGATTTACTATCCTAGACATTCAGTTGACCCTGTCGATTGAGGAAGTACCACAACATACTAAGTAATGGCGATCCAGAGCCAAATCTGTTATTCTAATGGTTGGTTATGAGACATTCCCGACTCTACAAACGACTGTTTGATTGCATAGATTGGAGAGGGTTTTATAATTACATTGCAACTGCAATTATGTTCTGGAATCAGTTAGGCTCAGACTCGAACTTATATGGGAGGATCCATACATTGGCAGTTGCAGAGATTCGAAAAGCTCGACCCTTTGTTCTACTAACTCCAGAGCTGCCATAAGGATCGACTCCGAAACCCCACCTGAAAAATTATTAACCCGCCCAATCAGAATATGGATACAAACAGAATAGGCACAGCATAAGCAATCCTCCATCCAAATCCAAGTTCATTTATTCCAAAAATGTGCTGCATCAAGCTGCTACAACCATAGCTTGGAAGATTATATCTCCCAAGGGATATCAACGAATTCGATACTGATTTCACTTTCAGAAACCGAAACTATCATGAACATTGGGATGCTAAGACCACCTTCCAAATAAAACCCTACTCCAAACCATGATAATACTGGCCAATGCGGCCACAAGGATATTCAAGACGGAGCTAAAAGCCAAGTTCTTTCAGTCTTGCAAGGTGGAAAGCCCATCAATCCGACCGAATTCGACCACAAAATTTCCAAGCTAAACAACAGGTTCAGTTCAAGCACAGATAGAGACTATAACAGAAGTAGTAATCTAGCATTTTTCAGTGTGGCTAGCTCGACTAATTCTATCAATGGAACACTAGAAGCTGCGGTTTAATAAGCAAAAAAGTTGCGAGCTTTATTCAGCAAGTAGCGAGCTTTACTTGGTAGTGGGGAGATGGAGACCGGAGACGGCTGAGGAAGCTGAAGAAGGGAAAAGGGGTAGTCTTCCGGTGATGGGCGACGGTGAAAATGAGGCCACCATCTATCTACTCCGGCGGGGGTGGTTCTTTTTCGCGCTTCCGTGGCAGATTCTCTACAACCTTCAGTTATATCCACAAAATTGACAAAGAAAGAAGAGGCTGTGAGAGAAAAGGGGGGAATGACTTGCCAAAAGGGGCCTAAAGGGCTGGGCCGGTTTTTTTTATGTTGGATTGGACCTCGGCAACAGAAAGTTAGAAAATTCTTTGACCTAAAACAAACCCATTGGTCCACAAATGGAACAATGGAAAAATACCCAAATCAATATTACCCAAACCATCAAGTTGAGGCATGATCCAACTCCTGGAAAAGGGTCTCCGCTGCCAGATTGGGAGTGGCCAGTTGGGTTCGCTACTCCACTCCAATTGAATTCTAGGGCTCCAATTTGATTCCCCAAGGTTTAATCCCCGGATTTTGCCGGAAGGGGGTGATCTGCCTGTTGCGGAAGTTATTTGTCAGGGAGAAGGATGTTGGAATGATGCTAAGCTGGGGCAGTGATTTGATCCTCCTACCTGTAAAGCTATTAAAGCTATTCCTCTCCCGAGACAGAATGTGGAGGATAGGTTGATCTGGCATTATGAGCGGGATGAGATTTTCTCGGTTAAGTCGGCCTATCACCTTGCTGTCTCCCTGGAGAAACGAAGTGGTCGGTGGAGGACCTCAGTCAGTTGGATGGATAAGCCTAGTTGGATTCGAGTATGGGGAGCTACTATTCCACCTAAACTTAAGGTGTTGTCTGGCAGATTTTGAATCGGATCCTCCCAACTACAGAAGCTCTCATTGAGAAGAAAGTTCCGGTGCTTCCTCGTTGCCCGGTTTGCTGGGGTGCACCTGAAACAATGGAACATTTGTTCCTCTATTGTCTGGTGGCCCGCGCTCTTTGGGATTATTCTGGGTTGGAGTACCTTAGTGAGGGGTTGCCTCGTCAAACTTTTCCTTTATTCCTTAAAAGGATGTAGTCCTTAATTCATCAGCCAGATCTGGTCATGGCGGTCGTAGCCGTCCTTTGGCGAATCTGGCGGTCTCGGAACTAGGTTGTCTTTGAAGGCAAACAGTATGGAATCCCGACTCTTATGCGCCAGTTTAACTAGCAGTATGAGGAATGGATAAGGTTGTCGAGAAGTCAGGGTCACCTGGCCTTGCGCCCAATGGTACATCAGCTGGAGCCAGTCGATCCTGGCATGGTTGTTTGTATGTGAGATGGGGCTACGAGGAGTGAATCTCATGCGGTAGGGGGGATGGTACTTTTGAATCCGGCTCGGGAGATCTTAATGACTAAAGGTGTTCAGTTTCCGGAAATTGATGACTCTGCGATGGTGGAACTGCTAGTCCTTCGAGAGGCACTGTTGTGGTGCGTGGAGCATGGTTTCGCGGTGGTCCGATTTGAGGGTGATGCCAAGGTGATTACTGATAAGATCAGGCAAGGAGATACCAGTGATAACCAGATGGGGGCTGTTCGATGAAGTAGTACAGTGTTTTGCTGCCCATCCAGAGTTTAGTGTTCGATTCATAGGTCGGAGTTATAATAGGGTAGCTCATGTGGTAGCTAGAAAGGCCCTTTCTTTGTACCCGACTTTGTCTCGTTTTTTTTTATTTTCAGACCTGGCTGAATTCTAGGGTGTAACTTTCTTCTATCAATCAATATAAGATTATCTTTTGTCAAAAAAAAAAGGCATGGTCCATGAAACCGTACCGGGAAAGTTATCGGTAGGGTATTTTATGGTAAAACCGTGCTTTAACTGTAATTCAACCATTGCACCGTTAAATACTGTCTACCGGTTTAGCCTTCAATATTGGTATTTCGTGGTTAAACCACCGATACGGTACGGTTTCATGGACGACTTGGTGATTGGTTGTCTCGTAGTTTTTATCATTGCAAATTTAATTCTGACTTTAGTATGAAAGTCTCGTTGTGTGCTGGTTTATTGTTTTATTGGATCACTTGTAATAATGACAATTGATATATCGACCTCGTGTCAATAAAAAAATTAAAAAACTAAAGCATGTTTCATTATTTGCCTAACATAAAAGGTATTACGAGCGCTTCTTGAATGCTCGATTTTAGATGAAGGTGAGTGTACTATTTTAGTTCTTTCTTTGATTTATGACTTTGAGCTCGATTAAATGGATAAAACTTTTCGTTAAAAGATAAAATCATACTTGTAAGATTCTAATTCATAAACATTCCTTAAATTTAAGGGGGAGTTTCTAGTTTGAGATTTTAAACACTAGGACATTATTAACGGAAATAGGTTCTCTTAATGATATATGTTTATCCTTAGTTAATGTGAAAACTGACAAAGTTTGGACATCCCATATACGACTTGCGTTTGTGCATCAAATGACAAAGATAATATTGATTTATATTCCTACACAAACATTTTGGCATGTTTCCTTAGGACCCTTCTTTGCTGGAGTTAGAGAAGGAAAATTTTCCTTGTAGAGAATATAATCCATATTGAAAAGTACTAGTCATATATTGAGGTCCTATTTGTATAAGTTTTCTTGATAAACTATATGATTAGGATTATACTTCATCATAACTATAACATATTTATAAGACATATATAACCTAAAACTCATTTAATGATCTGTGCAACCATCAAACTTTCTTATTCTCTCAATAAAAGATTTACATATAACTTCTCAAACTAGCATTTTGACCAAATAAACCTGTAACTCGAATTTACTATCTACGAAACACTCTCAACGTATATTAGACACACGAACAACGAAACAACTAACATTAAACCATAGTCACGGAGAGTTTAGTGTACTCCTCCACATCCTCCTCCAACTGAGCAACCTCTTCACCATGTCTCTTCACACCCTCATAGAACATAACACTGTAAGCCACCCACCACAACATCTTCAACAAACAAAAGCAGTTGGCCACAACCAATCCTGCGAGAATCTGGCCGGCGGTCGGCCACCCGAGACCAGCCAAACCGGTTGGAGAAACCACTTGACCGGCCCCGGGCAACCGGAACCCAACCCAAACCAAGCACTTCATGAAACCCCAACCCACCAACCCAAACACCAAATTCACAACGAACCCATGTAGCTTCATCCCTTTGACAATCCTGGCCGCCTTTCCAATCGCTTCAAGGCCATAGATCCCTTGCTCCACAACCGATCCCACAATGCCCAAACTCAAATCCACTAGCAAGTAAGACCCCAAAACCGACCCCAAACCCACAAAAATGTACATTGTGACCAACAAAACTCGTGGAGAAGACAAGAGTACGAGGGTGAAAGGGTACATAATCGCAAACAGTACACACATGTATCCCAAGAGGAAAAGGGCCATGTAAACCCAAGTCACCAAAGGTCCTTTCCAAGACCTTATTACCCTCGAAAACACGCCTTTGACTGTCGTGGTGGTCTTTCCTCCGATCACCATGGATGAAGCAAAGATTGTGGATGCAGCTACGAAGAGGGACGAGAGTGAGATGATGAGCGCCATGATTAGCTCGTAGGTGATGATGGATGCCAAGGAGCTAAAGATTTTGTCGAGGTTGGTAGGGTCGGCGGCCATGCTCTCGAAGGAGTTGACCAATAGCCTGAAGAACCCGAGGGTGACGAAGTAGATCAAGGAGTTGAAGATGAGGATGGCAATGGCGACCCATGTGATCAAGGTTGGATTTTTGGGGATGGTTTTGAAGGTTTCTGAGAAAATGGAGAGCAACCCTTTAAGCCAAGATGAATCCATTGAAATGGGTCGAGCTCAGAATTGGTGACTGATGAGTGAAAGAATTGTGTTGTAGCTTTGCAAAATGGGGTGTGGTATAAGAAGTCTTTTTAGATAACCACAAAGCTTCTTCTGATATTATTTTGATTTGATGGACGAAGAGAATGGGTCTTCTTTTATAGCTGCAACTCGCAGAAGACTTGGCAATTGGCATCAATATATCCACGCGTTGGAAAAGTCTCCGATGGTGCTCTTTGGTAATTGTTTAATGTTCGAATGACAAAAGTCACTCGAGCTTGGAATTTGTATAATTTGTTGGGCTGAAAGGTCAGATGAGTCCTTCACCTCTAACTTGTGATCATTTACAAACTTGAAGTTTTATTTGGAGCAAATACATCCATTAACTTATGGATATTGAACAAATACATCCATTAACAAATGACAAAATCAAGATGCCAGTTGATTTATCATCACACGACACATTGCAGGGTTTTGCTCTTGGTTAGCATTGCGTATAAGTTATTTAGTAATGTTAGAACTCATTCACAAATATGGAAGTACTCTTCCACTTAATCATCAACACATATTTATAAGCCTCGTGATGGGTGCTTTTGAACATTTTAAAATTTGCTAGCCCAATTGCCATAAACTTGAGAGTTGATGGGCTTATTGATCATTGGTCATGATGACCAATGTTGCATTCTTGACAAAATCAAACAAACGAAACTTCCTTCAAACTGCCAATAGAAATATAGTCCTTCCCTAAAAAATTAGAATTCAGCAATGTCCCGTGACATTAACTATAGACGATTTTTCTTTGGAGCATGAAATCACTAAGTTCATCACCAAAGACCTTGACTCCATAACTAATTGCTCTAAGTTGATAGTTAAAAATTATTTGACTAAGCCTTGTTTAATTTAGTTGGTGAATAAAATTAAGTTGGAAATAAAATTTTAATTATGCTCTATTGAGCTTCATCTCATACTAAATAAACTCACCACAATGAATAAAATTGAACAATATGAAGTAGAATTTACTTCCTTCAGTTTACTCCCTTCTGCAACCACCACACTAGTGGTTGAGTGCAAATGCGGTAAATTCTACACCTTACATATTTCTAAGTATTTGCTATACATATTTTCAAGTATTTGCCTTAAGTGCTTTAAGTATTTGTTTTATGGGGAGTATGTGCAATGTTTAATTTATGTAATGTTTAATTTATTCATGTTTGTTAAAGCGTGCTTTATTTGAGTTATAATATTGAGTTATATGTTATACTGCATTTTATTAACAAGTAAGTTGAAAATTAAGAAACAAGTTTTTTGTAAGAAGTATGTCACCTTCAGTGAAGGTGAAATAGTTTTTAAAGATTTTTAGTCATTAGAGTTAGCTCGTTGCCGTTTGAGATTTTAAGATACAACAGTAGTTATGCTCTTGAGAATCGTGGATGAATCATTACGACTTCGACGATAAGTTTAAGATGTTAGGGGGATAAATCTTTACGACTTCCTTAACTAGAAATATGCATTTATTTTCCTTTTATTTTGATTTAAATATGTCAAATCTTATCTTTTCATTCATTTTGCCTGTTAGTTATCTCTGTTTCGTCATGATTCTTCATCTCAGCCAAAGGATGACGTAGAAAACATTTAAATTTTTTATTTGCTAGTGAAAGGATAAGATTTCCATTAGAACATTTTTTAGGGGAAACTAATGTGTGCTTTCATTGGAATCAATCAAAGTGAGCTCATGGGGCACAACATCAACAATACAAGTTGATAGATTGACCTCCCATATAACTACACTATTTAACATCAATACATGAATGAGCTAAAAGATGAGCAATACTGTTTGATTCTCTAAAAATAAAGTTCCATTCTCTAACTGAGCATTCTTCACCCAGATAAAGAATGCTTCTGCAGATGTTGTCCAGTTCATTTCTACATTCCTCCTGATTCTATCCACCAATCTTTCACAGCTAATCGAATGCCAACATCATAGCAAGACCTTTTGCAATCTCAAAATATGAACATCTGTATATTCTATCTATTCAGGAGTCCATGTTGCTTCTACTGCCACAGGCTCATCTCTTTCATAGAATAAAAGGTAAGCATTTACACGCAAAATAGCTTCCTCCTCCCAAACAATCACCTAAAGATAAAAGTCAAAATTAAATTCAAAAGGTATTCAAAAGGTAAAATCGCTGCCAAACGGGATCATCCATAGTTTTGAAGAGTTCATCCGCCTATTCACCACCGAATTCACATCCTAAAAGAGAAGGTCAATCCACTCCAAGGCCTTAGTCGACATAAAAAAAGAAGAAGGAGAGAACCTGAGGGCGTTCTACACAAGGTGGTCGTGTCGTCATGGCAGTTCACGACTTGACCACGAAAACCACAGCTCATCAGTCCTAATGGACTCCACCAAAAACAGCGAGCTGCGTAGATCATTGGCGAAGCGGCCGGTGATGTCTTCTTCCGAACTGGAAGCAAAAGTGGAGAAAGCAATAATGTTCGAAGAAACCTTAGTTGTTGGGTTAGTGTGCATATTTGAACCAATGCGGCAAACAAAAGACGATCAAGCAAGGCGTCAACCGCCAAACGCTATTCACACATAGCATAGTGGGTACAGTCTTAATCTCATAAATGATCCGAAAAGTATCCGTAAGTATCCATAAATATCCATAAATGATCCGAAAAGTGGACAGTCTTAATCTCTGTCGATTAGGGAAGCCATTCGGCAGATTTTTATTAATCTCTGTCGATTAGGGAAGCCATTCACACATAGCATAGTGGGTACAAACTACCTAAACAGCACCTAAAGATTACAAATTTACATCTAGGTCCTCGTCGTTTCCTCCTTGGACAACCCCCCCCCCCCCCCCCCCGGCAAGCTGGTGCGTATATGTCAAGACGATCCAGCTTGGCCTGCAACTGATGAAAAACATGAACTGGAAGGGACTTTGTAAACATATCAGCTAACTGGTTAGCAGAGGAAACATGCAAAACCTTAATCACTCCATCCAGAATCCTATCTCGAATGACATGACAGTCAATCTCGATATGCTTTGTGCGTTCATGATTGACTGGATTGTCAGCAAGTTTGATGGCAGATAGACTATCACAATATATGGGAGTAGGAGAAGAAAAGCAAACATGCAAATCAAGCAGAACATATCTCAGCCATATGATTTCACATGTTAAACTGGCCATTGCTCTATATTCAGCTTTAGCTGAAGAGCGGGAAACAGTTTTCTGTTTCTTTGAACGCCAACTAATTAACGAATTCCCTAACAGAACACAAAATCCTGTTGTAGACCTGCGTGTGTCGGGACAACCAGCCCAATCACTATCACAAAAAGCATTCATTTCAGTTCAGAAGCAGCAGAAAAGAATAGTCCTTGACCTGCAGTGCCCTTGATGTAATGTAAAACACGTTCAGCAGCTTGCATATGAAGGTCAGTGGGACTGTGTGTGAACTGACTTAATTGATGAACTGAATAGGCTAAATCAGGACAAGTATTGCAAAGATAAAGCAATCTGCCTACCAAACGCTTATAAACAGAAGGGTCAGAAAGTGTATTACCAGAAGTAGCAGAGTGCTTAGTACCTGGAACAGAAGGAGAGTCACAAGGTTCTGCACTAAGAAAACCATAATCGGTTAACAAATCTAAAGCAAATTTCCTTTGATATAATAGAATACCCTTCTCTGTCCTAGCAATCTCTAGTCCAAGAAAGAATTTTAATTCACTAAGATCCTTGATGGTGAAGGTATGATCTAGTTGGTGTTTGAGATTAGTAATAGCTTGGAGATCATTTCCTGCCAAAATAATGTCGTCAACATACACAAGTGCAATGGTAAACGATTTATCATGGCTGCGAACAAACATAGAATAGTCTGCTTTAGACTGTTTGTAACCAGCTGAAGTTAAAAAATTAGAAAGTTTAATATTCCATTGACGGCTGGCTTGTTTTAACCCATAGATTGATTTGTTAAGACGACATACAGGATTCTTAAATCCTGGAGGTACTACCAGACCTGGAGGAATCTTCATGTAGACCTCTTCATCAAGGTCTCCATGAAGAAATGTTGTATTAACATCAAGTTGATGCAAGTGCCAATTGTTAATAGCAGCTAAGGATAAAACAAGACGAACAGTGGTGTGTTTAACAACAGGTGCAAAGGTTTCTAAATAGTCTAGACCAGGAGTTTGAGTGTACCCTTTGGCCACTAAATGAGATTTAAACCTTTCTATTTCACCATTTGAAAGAAATTTAATTTTGAACACCCACATATTTCCTATGGCAACCTTACCATCAGGTAACTCAACAATTGTCCATGTATTGGTTTTATCTAAGGAAGCCAACTCAGAATTGCAAGCTTCTGACCACCTAGGATCCTTAATGGCTTCTTTATAAGACCTGGGTTCTAAAATGGCAGAACTGGCCAGAATATACTTCTTGTATTCTGGACTAAGATTATCCAAAGACATAATTTGAGATAAAGGATATGTAACCCCATCACATTCAACAGCACAAATATAATCATTAAGCTTCTTAGGACGTACCTTAATACGAGGAGGCCTCGCATAAGGAGGAGGTTCTACTGCTTGAATGATATCAACGAGATCTAGGGGTTCTTCAGGTAATAGAGAAGATGAATGTGATACCTCATTAGAAGAAATAGGAAGTAATGGAGAGTGTGAAGTACTGGCAGAATTAGAAATGACTGTTTCCTGAACTTGAATGCAAGGAAAACAAAAGTCAAAATCAAGAGTGGAGTTGGAAGTAGCAAATGGGAAAACATGCTCGTGAAAAACAGTGTCCCTTGAGTAAAAAATATCGTGGGAAACCAGATTATAGAGTCTGTGTCCTTTAACAGTATTAAGGAAACCTAAGAAGACACAAGGGTCAGCCCTGGGGGCAAATTTGGATCTATTATGTTGCAAAGTTGAGGCAAAAACTAGACAACCAAAAATCCTGAATTCACTATAAACAGGTTTGGTGTGAAATAATAATTCATAAGGAGATAAATTCTGTAAAAGGGGAGATGGCATTCTATTAATAAAAAAAACAGAATGTAAAACTGCAAACCCCCAGAAAGTGATTGGAAATGATGCTTGAAACATAAGAGCACGTGCAACAGCCAATATGTGTTGATGTTTCCTCTCAACACGACCATTTTGTTGGGAGGAAGCTACACAAGTTGTTTGGTGTACAGTACCAACTTCTTTGTAGAAAGAAGGAATATTGAATTTTTGGCCATTATCAGTCCTTATTGTTTTAATTTTAGATGAAAATTGAGTGTTAACGAAGGCTGGCAGCTCTAACATGATTTGCCTAGCTTCACCTTTTGTTTTTAGTAAATAAATCCAAGTGTGTCGTGAAAAATCATCAACACAAGTGAGGAAATATCGAAACCCATCAATAGTAGGAGTCTGATATGGACCCCATATATCTAAATGAAGTAAGTCAAAAGGCTGAAGAGCATGAGAAGTACTCGAAGGAAAAGGGAGACGCTTTTGTTTTGCCAAAGGACACACAATACAAGGAGTTTTATTATTACTGATAGGGGGTTTAACATCCTTGTCTAAGAACTGGGATAAGGGAACAGCAGTATGGCCAAGTCTGTATTGCCAAACATCAAAAGGAACATAGTCTGTATTGAAACAAGCATTACAAACAGATAGTTGAGACTTAGGAAGAGGCATGTTGAGATGATAGAGGCCAGATTCTTGCTTAGCTGTACCAATCGTTTCGAGGGATGAAAGATCCTGGATTAAGCAAGAATCGGCAGTAAATTGTAGAGAACAGTTTGAAGATTGGACTAGTTTAGATACTGAAATGAGATTGAATGTGAAAGCCGGAATATAAAAGACATCATATAAAATCAGTTTAGGAGTGATGGCAATGTTCCCTATGTGTGTAACCTTAACTTTTACACCATTAGGTAGAGACACAGACATATTATTTATGGTTTTATATGTTTGGAACAGATTTAACACAGAGACAACATGATCAGTAGCACCAGTATCTACTATCCAATCCATAGAAGTGAGAACTGAATTAATAGAAGAAAGAACCGTACCAGTGTCTTCAGTGGGAACAAGGTTAAGACCAACAGGTTGTGGAATGTAACCCGAATCAACAGCCTGAGGAACTGTGCCAGAATCAGCAGTATGAGGGAGAACTCCAGAATCAGCTGAAGTGTGTGGATGAACCTCTGGTGTAACAGGGATCTGTCTAGCCGAGGTGATCAGATTAGCTACAGGAGTAGCAGACGGCCGCTGAACATGCTGAGCCTGAGTCTGAGTTAGCAGAGACTGGTAACAGCGATCCACTGTGTGCCCGAATCCTTCACAATGAGTTACAATAGGGCCTCTTCTTACCCCCACCAGGACCTTGAGCAGAAGACCCCTGACCCTTGCCCTGACCAGAAAAATGTCCCTTCGAAGTGCTATGAGCAGCAAGAGCAGTAGAGAGTGAAGAAGGAGTACTAGACTGTCGTTCATGCTGAGCTAAGCTAGAGAAAACCTTATTAATGGACGGCAAAGGATCATTCAACAGCAACTGAGACTTGATATGAGCAAAGTTCTCATTAAGCCCTTTCAGAAATCGAATGACCTGGTCCCTACGCACATACTCACGTGGAATCGACGAAGCAGAGCAAACACACTTAGGATTGCAAGTACACACAGGAAGCGGTCTGAGAATCAAGAATTCTTCCCATAACACCCGAAATTTGGTAAAGTAAGCACTGATCGACGTTGAACCTTGTTTGAGAGCAGCAATTTCATCGTAGATATCCGAAATACGAATCTCATTACCTTCACTAAACCGCTCTCGAAGATCCTCCCAGGCTTCCACAGCTGTGTTGAACCAGAGTATGCTCTGTGCAATCTCAGGTGATACAGATCGCTGAATCCATCCGAGCACAAGAACATTGGCCTGATCCCAAGCACTCCAAAGAGGATCAGTCGGCGCTGGGACCGGTGAAGCAGAATCGATCAACGGGAGCTTATTCCTTGCATGCAATCCCATTCTCATCGATCGTGCCCAGCTGTGGTAGTTAGAACCAGAAAGAAGCACCGTCACGAGCTGCTGAGCCGACAAACCGCCATTGGCCACAAAAAACGGGTGCGCCGACGAAAGCGAAGCTCCAATAGACGCAGAACCACCAGCCATAGCGCTCACCGGAGAAACACCACTACCGCTAGGAGGAGCACCGCCTGACGCAGCACCAGACGACGGCGGACCAAGCGTCGCGTTGACAACAGAGAAAGACGCCATCGATCTAGATCCAAGACTGTGAAAGAGGCGACTGAAAGAAATCAAGAATCACGATCGTCGCAGAGGAACGAATCGCAAGAAAACGAATGAAATCGTTACAGAGGAAGCGAAAACTGGATCGAATCGATCAAAGAACGATCGAGAAATGGAAACAGAGGAGAGAGAAAACGAACGAGCTGTTCACTTCTCCTGGAATCCTCGAGAAACCGAAAGAAAGAGACTGAATAGTCAAAGAAAACAAGAACGGTGATTATCACGCTCTGATACCATGTCGTTTAGGGAAGCCATTCGGCAGATTTTTATTAATTGGAAAAGAAACCTTACATTATCCTTTACAGTACACATATACATACTACATACAAACTACCTAAACAGCACCTAAAGATTACAAATTTACATCTAGGTCCTCGTCGTTTCCTCCTTGGACAACTATCTCAATCATACATTTGAGGAACTGAACAAACCAACACTCACTAACCAGGGCTCTATCCAGCTTTTGCATGAGGGTTTCTTTCTTGGTTATTTGTCTAGGTGAAAAATGGTCTTGTAGCTCTATGATCAAACAGCTCCATCGAAGCTACCCAACTACCAAAGTCCGCCATACAGCTTGTAGGCTCACATGTCTTGGAGACTTCCCCTGGCTTCAAAACTGCATTAAAGTCTCCCCCAATTAACCAAGGATGGTTGCTCACTTTTACTTTTGCTAATTCAGTGTATGTAGCCCTCCTTTCCAACTCATCATTCAAACCGTAAATAGTAGTAACAAAACAGTTTTCCCCTTTGCACTGACTTTACTAGACAATGAACTAAGTTTCTACTTGGTACTAACACCCTTAAATCCACACTCTGAGAATCCCAAAACAACCAAATACGGGCCAAATCACTGTCAATATATTTCAAATGCTTCTTCCACCATAACAAAAATCTTCATACACTTTCTCTGCTTTGTTTTTCCATACTCTAGTTTCCAATATGGCTACCATATCTACTTTATTCTCCATAAGGACTAAAAACAAGTCCTTATGCTTAGAGGGTTTATTGAATCCTCTAACATTCAGAAATAAGATAATCATTTAGAAGAGGAGGGCGAGCACCCTTCCTTCTTACCACCTTTCCTTGGAGTTGCCTGTAAATTGACAACCATACCTTCTTCTAAAGTTCTGAGCAAATCGAACGATTGAGATACCCGAAGTACACTAGTAGGGCTTGCTTGAGGAGACCATACTCGAGGACGAGCTCCATTAACCAATAGTTGAAACTCATCTTCTGAGGGGGAGGATAGTAGACGAGCATTCAATAGCAACAAATATTTTATGAAGACTAATACCCTGCATAGGTGAATCTCCCCAGATGGACTCCCACACAATCCTTATACGTTGGAACCAATCAGCAAACTCTCAGACATTGTATCCTGTTCAATCCGTGAAATAGGTTGTGGCGAAACCATAACCTCTTTACCCTTATCCAAAACCTTAGCAACCCGTATAATTCTGACCCTATTTTGTTTCCTAACCCATACCTACTTATGACATTCACAGACGCCAAACAGTCCACAAGGCTTACATATAGGAGGTAAGTGAGCATTAGTGACTCCAACCCAGCCAGAGAATAAATTTAGGACATATGTATACATGCTAAAATGCTCTGTGTAACTTGGCAGTGAAAGTTCTTCATATGAATTATAATAGCGTTGTGTTTGCATGATGGTCCAAATTATTAGACCTTCTATCAAACGGAGAGCCAGGAACCCAGGAATAGGATTAGTGGTAATAATTGATTATAGACCTTATAACTAGACAGATGTAGGACCAAGTCTGCACCAACTAATTACTCTTAGGTTATTAATCAGGTTCATTCTTTCCTTTATGCATTGTAAGTGGAGAACTTTGATTAAATAGTTTTCAGATTATGTAGTTGAACTGTTTTCATTTTCTGATTTCTATATCTGCAGAATCATAATTGATTAGCTGCTGAAAAGGGTAGAATCATGCTCTAAATTGTGTTTTAATTGGTTTGAACAAATTAGTTGTAGATGTAATTGTTTGTTGTTTTGGTCAACTATAGCTTTGGAAAAGTTAATACAGGTGGAACTAATTAACAACATTACTTCAACAACGTTGGCTAGAAAGGTTTATAAAGGTGATATCACTTGATTCACTTATATGTTTTGATTAGGCAGCAAAATAGACCATTTCATTTATTGGAGTTATTCACCTCATTACTAGGTAGGTAGCAAAGTAACAGACTACTTGATAATTGATCCTTCATCGGTTACCAAAGTCTCAAGATAGCTAAGGTTAAGTTATATCTATACTTGATTATTGACCCATGTATGTATTTGCAACAGATTGGCAGGCCCCCCTGTTTCGTGATGGGTTTATGTTGGAGCATGGAGTAGAGTTGGTAACTTGCACAGACACTAGAATCAGCGACAGAGCAACCTCTGTTGAATTCAGCCAACCAGACCTTTGCCTCCGAACCCTTCAATTCTGTCTTCTCTTTGGCTCTTTTCCGCCATGACAATTGTCGTGGGGGTGGCTTGCTGCAGCTTCTGCGCAAAGACTCCCAATTTCAACTCTTTGCATCTTACTAATGAAGAACAATGGATGGTACGAGTCGCAGAAAAGGAAGTCAATCACCTGATTATGTAGCCGGTGAGCAAGGATGAATACTGGATTTGGTGGGTGAAGCCTCCAAATTCTAGGTGATAAACAAAAATACCTCAAGACCTAAACAAAAATACCTCAAGCCTCCAAGTTCAACGTGTCTGTATTGTGTAATTGGGATGGAATTCCATTTGTTTATTTGATGGTTGGACTATGATTTCGATGATCTATGACATTTTCCACTTGAAATTTGGTCTTGCTTTGCATGAGTATCTTCTGTTTATTAGATGATTGGTTGCTGCTTCACTTTGAAACATGATGAAAACTTAAACTATGGTGCCTCTTGCAATTGCAAGCTTTATATGCTATAACTTGGACTAAAAGAACCAGATTTGATAGTCCATATCTAAATACCGCCGCAGAGCGCGGGTCATTTTTCTAGTTATAGTAAAACAATATAACCATCCTTAACTATTGATTAAATTACCCCCTTTATATCTTATTTGGTACCAAAGCTCTAGTTTATTATATCGGTCCACCACCTGGTTATACAGATCGAGCAATTTGGGAAGATGTCATCCCAACAAACATGTTGCTTGTTTGGGTCGACCGTCATGATGTGCATATCAACCCGTTTTGGAGAACACAAGGTGCATTGCCTATAAACCAATGACATAGATGATTATTTCTAGAGTTTTTCTGTTGATATCACTATTTCTTAAATGGTTATCGTGTCCTTGTTTGATATTGAAGTCTTTGTGCTCCCACACTGATCAGTTCATGCAAACTAGTAGAATAATTGGTAAGAATGATCAATTTTTCCCTCCTACCCATGGTTCCAACGATGTTATTATCGATCAATATAAAAGATTGAATTGCTAGACTCCACGTCACCGGCCTAACTTTGAGTTTAACAAAGTCATCGTAGCAAACTCCTAAACAAAGTCACCCTAATGAAAAAAAAAATTAGGCAACATGAAGTCCCATTTACTTCCATTAGTTTATTACTCGTTATCCAACCACTAAATGTCTTGATGACTAACAAGAATATTCCAAACTTAATCATGTTTCTGATTCAAACAACATGTTTGACAATAAGGACCTTCACATTGAACGACTATAAATGAGCTAGAAACATTGGTCATAAGTTTATTAGTATCTCATCTTATGCTTAAATCGTCTCAGTCAACGTTGATCATCATAAGCTCCACCTTAGGAAAAACATTGATTTTGACTTCACAAACTTTATATTCAATTGCCTAAAATCTTCCATCAAGAACAGATTAAACATTACTAGGTAACACTAGCATTTGCATCAATTCCACAATGCTCAGTCCACCACGTAACTCATTGCCAAGATATTCGACAAAAATATCATTTGATTATGTTTCGAACTTGATTGTTTTCGTGAAATGAATTTACCCGAAACTTGAGAAAACCATATTAAGCTCCACTGTCAAAAACCCCAACACGAGCGGATTAGAGGGCATGCCAATTAGTGGAAAAAATCCAAAAGTCCCACTGTTTTAAAAAAAATTCCAAAAATACCATCTTTTTTCAAAAACCGCCACCCCACCCTGCGGTTTACATGAAAACCGCTGGGCGGGGCGCGGTTTTCTATGCAAACCGCTGGGCTAAATGGCGGTTATAAAAACCGCTGGGTGGGGCGGCGGTTTTGGGCCAAACCGCCACCCCACCCAGCGGTTTGGTCCAAAAAAAAAAATTCCGATCAACTCCTAACTTCGGCCGAAACTTCAAACGAACGTAACTTTGCACTCGGGTATCCGATCGTATCGATTTTTTTTTAATCCGAATAACTTTTCGAGATCTTGCAAGCCACAAACAGCCGTAGGCGGTTTGGTCCCGCCTTCGTCTCGAAAAAACGTAATTTGCCTTTTTTTTATTTTGTCAAACTTTGGGCGGCCTTAACTTTGTGCTCCAAAATCCGAACATCATGAATTTTTTTTTATTCCGCATAACTTTTCAAGATCTACAACTTTTAGGATAATCATAATTTCGAAATGTACATAGATTTGTGAAAAGTAAAGGTAAAGTTATTCCCAAGGTCCCGTATATCCATAACTAATTCCTGTTTTGAAAATTTCATCCTAGTAAAAGTTGTAGATCTCGAAAAGTTATTCGGATTAAAAAAAATCGCTACGATCGGATACCCGAGTGCAAAGTTACGTTCGATTGAAGTTTCGGCCGAAGTTAGGAGTTGATCGGAAAAAAAAAATTGGACCAAACCGCTGGGTGGGGTGGTGGTTTGGCCCAAAACCGCCGCCCCACCCATCGGTTTTTATAGGTTTTTATAACCGCCCCTTAGTCCAGCGGTTTGCATAGAAACCGCACCCTCGCTCAACGGTTTTCGTGTAAACCGCAGGGTGGGGTGGCAGTTTTTGAAAAATGGTGGTATTTTTGGAATTTTTTGGGGTTGGGTGGTATTTTTGGAATTCTTTTTTTAAACAGTGGTATTTCTGGAAAAAGTCCTCAATTAGTAGGAGCAAGAACAACAGAAAGGCGATTGTTGTTGCATGCATATCTACTCGTTAGAGACCAATCTTTCATTCTACAGAGGAGAATTTCACTCGTTTTCATAAGGGTGTCAATTCAATAATTTAAACCTAAACCACGATGAATGTTCGCATCCTCACATTAACCCTTGGTGATTGTATGTCGTCAATCGTTGGCAATTCAGGTTTGATCACAGGTGGGTTAATTATGAGAACTGTGAAGAAATCATCAAGAGAGAATGGCAAAAAGGGGGCAAATCACCACTCGAACCTTGCCAATTGCAGCAGAGATCTTATTTCCTGGAGCAGAACCAATGTGAACAATGCTGCGATTAGGATCAAAGTTATTGAAGAAAGGCTGAGAACTATCATGGAACTGACTCGTGACCCTATCTATGAGGAAGAAGAGATAACCCTGAAGCTGGAACTCAATAAACTTTGGTTGGAGGAAGAAATTTTCTGGAGACAACGTTCCAATGTCCATTGGCTCCAAGGAGGAGATCAGAATTCGAGGCCTCAGGAATACTGTGGTTAAGCTCATGGATGATGGTAATAATTGAATTGAAAACCAAATCTTACTCGAGCATCATGCTGTGAGTTTCTACAAAAATCTGTTCAGAAAAAGAGACACAGGAAACGATCTTATGTTGATTCGTATGAACCATGCTCTATTGTCCCTCTATTGTCACGAATCATATGAACCATGCTCTTTGTAGAATGGTGGAAGATGAGGAGATCAAGACAGCAGTCTTTGACCTTGGCTCGACCAAGTCCCCGGGTCCGGATGGCTTCCCGGGATTATTCTACAGGAAGTATTGGGACATTATTGGCAAGCAAGTCTGTGAAGAGATTAAGCTCTTCTTCGAAACAGGATCCATGGCGGAAGGGTGGAATGACACACACCTCATCCTTACCCCGAAAGTGACTAATCCAGAGCGTATCTCACAATTTCGCCCGATAAGCTGTTGTAACTTCAGATACAAAGTCATATCCAAGATTATGACTACTCGACTCAACGAATGGATACCAAGCCTTGTATCTGAAATGCTGTCGGCTTTTATGGGTGGAAGAGCTATCCAGGACAATGTGATCATCGTCCATGAGGTACTGCATCACTTTAAAACAAGGCCGTAAGGAGGGAATTGGGATATGATGATGAAGTTGGACATGAAGAAGGCTTTTGATATGGTGGACTGGGAATGCCTGGATGAGATCCTTAGGGCAATGGGATTCGCCTAGCAATGGTGTCTCTGGGTGAAGGAATGTGTGCGCTCTGTCCGTTTTGCGGTCCTTTTCAATGGCCAGCCTTCACCTTTCTTCGAACCATCGAGAGGAATTCGTCAGGGAGACCCCCTTTCCCCTCTTCTCTTCATCTTGCTCACTAACGCCTTATCATTCATCATTAACAAGAACATAGTGAATGGATCATTAAAAGGGATCACTTTAACACCAAATTGCCCAAAACTCACCCATGTTTTGTTTGCAGATGATACTATTATCTTTGGGAAAGCCTCGCTTTTGGAAGCTATGACCATCAAGCAAATGATTGAGGATTATGGTGGCATGACAGGACAAATGATCAACAATGATAAATCGGCGATCACCTTTAGCAAGAACACCCCTGAGGCCATCACGACACTGATTGTTGACTATCTCAATATACCTCTATCAGGTGGAACGGGGAAATACCTTGGAGTGCCCACAGAGTGGGGTAGATCCAAAAAGGATGTTTTTGCAGGTCTTGTTCAACGTATGGAAAATCTGGTTCAAGCATGGAAGAGCCTTGCTCTCTCCCAAGCTGGGAAGGAGACCCTCCTTAAATCGGTCTACCAAAGTTACCCGACCTACGTGATGTCCTGCTTTCTGCTCCCTAAAAGAACCACCAACATCATGGATTCTAGACTCAAGAGCTTCTTCTGGGGAGGAAGTTTAGAGAAAGGAACGATCCATTGGAGAAAGGGAAGTGTCCTTACAGCTGCCAAACAAGAAGGAGGCATGGGATTCAAGGACTTCCATCAGTTCAACCTTGCTTTGCTTGCCAAACAAGGATGGAGAATCCTGAATGGGGGTGACGAAACTTGGGTCAAGCTTCTTAGAGGTCTTTACTTCCCTAATGTGAACTTCATGGATGCAGGAAAAGGAAGGAAGCCCTCGTGGATCTGGTCTAGTATCCGGGAAGCTAGGAAGATACTCATGTTGGGGGCTCGAAAGAATATGGGCAATGGAAGGGATATCATCCTTGAGAAAGACCCTTGGATCCCTAGCATTCCAGGATTTCGACTTCATAACAACCAACGACAGCAACTTAAGGCTTCGGACTGGGTCAGGAATGATTGCAATGGATGGAACCTAGACCTTATTGAGCAATCTTGCCATCCTGAGGAAGTCGAAGCAATCAAAAGGATACCAATCGGTACGAATGACATGGAAGACACGTGGGTTTGGCACATGGAAAAATCAGGAGCCTTCACGGTTAAATCGGCTTACCACACTGCTAGGATTGATGAAAGAACTAGAACAAACTCGGCAGACCCAAACCACCCCGGTTGCTCATCCAAAGCTTGGAAATGGTTATGGAGTCTTTCATTGCCACCAAAAATTCTGAATTTCATCTGGAGAATCACAAGGAATGCCTTGGCGACAAAGGGAAACCTCTGCTTCCGAAAGGTCATACAATCCCCGTGCTGCACTTTATGTCAGGCTGACTCTGAAGACATTTGGCACTGCTTCTTTGGATGCCAGCACGCCCGTTCCACCTGGCATTCCAGCTTCCCATCGCTGCAGCTCCCTCCCACTTCAATGCCTTTGCTGATGTGGTTGTTCCACCTGCATGAAGCATCCCCTTCTTTCTCTGTCATGGCTATTGCTGCGAACCTCTGGGCAATCTGGAATGCTAGGAACGAGTTTGTTTTCAAAGGGGTCAGACCCACTCTCCAGACTACTACAGCGAAGGCTGTCAACCACTTCACCGATTGGAACGGTATTCTCCCGTCCCCAAGGATCGTCTCTACCCAGCCCCCTCCACCCCGTTCTAACCTTGATCCACCGCCTGGTTTCTTCCAATTGAAGATTAACTGTGATGGAGCTTTTGCCTCGGAATCACAGTTGGCGGCTTATGGCGTTGTCGTTCGTGACGGCCATGGACAAGTGATTGATGGAAAGGCTGGTACCTTTTTTTGTTCAACATCGATGGTGGCGGAAGCTAAAGCCCTATTGACTGCTCTCCAAATTGCTGATTCTTTAGGAATGTCTGCAATTGTTTTCTCCGACTGCCAAGTTCTCACAAATGCTCTCCTTAGGCAAGGGGCTACTTGGCCATGGCATGTCAAAGCTTGGCTTCATTGTATGCGACATATCATATCCTCAAATGATGGAATCAAGGTGTGCTTTACTCCACGTAGCAACAACAAGAGCGCAGATTGGGTGGCCAGAGAATCAGCGAGAGGAACTCTTCCTACTCAATGGATCCATATTCTTGATTTAATCTCACCTCTTCTGTAATAGGCTCAGCTTGTACCAACATCGATTATGAATGAAATGCAACTTATTGTCAAAAAAAATAATCGTTGGCAATTCCCGAGTTAGGTCTACTTTCCTAGCCCTCACTACTAAGACTAGACCATGCATTTTGTGCACAATTAAGTTAGGCCAACTTTGGTTTTGCTTTATAATGTTGCTGTAATTTCAGTGTTGTTGCTCTCTTAGATTTTTTATTATTTTATTTGGGAGTTATCAGGAGTTGTATTGTATTAGCTTAAAGGTCACAATCAAGATAATCGACTCTCTCACAACACAATAGCATATTTCAACGAGAGAGTCCAATCAACTCTTCCTTCTTAGGTTGATGAAAGCAACCGGTAATCAGCCACTAGTCGTTATCATTAACCTACTAATAAGGTTCAAGTAACCCAACTGCACCTTTGTACTACTAACTATGGCCTTTTCCAACAATCCACTCGGAAATAAGAGACAGAGAACTCTATTACGTGCCTAATCCAGAATCAATCAGACATCTCATGAAAAACAGCTCTAAAATACGAGACCTCTCTAGGTGTAGGTCGAAAGCCAGCTGCTTTACCATTCGTTTAGACTTCAGGAACACACAATCAAAGCATTAACCTTAACCCATAAAATTTTGGCCAAACCAACAACATTGTCGTATGTTATATGATCCACTCGTCTTTCGAAACTGTTAAAAGGCATAACCTTTTGATACCAAATCTCAAATCTAAGTACTCTATTGCTTCTTATGGTAACTCCATAGCTATCAAAAGCTTAACCAACCACATTCTACTGCACTAACTGAGAAAATGAGGCCCCAAGGAACAGACTTATCTATGATCTCTATCTACATCCATTCTGGTTGTTCTTCATGGAAGGCTGAAACTTAGCAAAAACAACCATATTTCAATCCCTAGGATCGCTTCCAGGCAAGAACGAGACATTCGTACAAGAACCAATTCATCCCAATAATCCGAATTTCAAGAAGGATGAACCTTCATACCCTTTCCAGCAGAGGACTCTCAGCTAGATACCGCGGCCCCTTTCGAAACCTGCAATCTGAATCCTGTTCAATCCCACTAAACAAAATGGCCATGATCTGCAAATCTAAAATCTTAATCATGACCTGCAATCCATGATTGGTTGGGATAGGAACATAAAATTCAAGAATCTCACCACTTAATCAAACAGTGAACTCGAGTGGAACCGAAAATCATCATCCCATTACCATAAGAGGCGACCATAGTTGTAATATACAGGGGAATTCCAGGAACTTGAAGAAGAAGAAAGAAGAACACTGTAACCAAAAGAAGAACACTTTAACCAAAATTGTTGAGACTTACGAGGTGGGGAAAAAAACGTTTCTTTCTACCAGACCCTGAAATCGTTCCTCCAATCGAAACCCCAAGAGCCACTCCTTTCTTCCTCCACCAGCTGAACCCTAGCTCGGCAAATCGGGCAAGCCGGCACCTTCACCAGCCACGGATCCACGCACCGCCGGTGGAACAAATGCCCACAACCGGGTAGCTTCCTGCACCATTGCCCCTGCTTAATCGAATCCAAACACACCACGCATTCGTCGGTCTCGCCTCCTTGCATCCTCCGCGAGAATCTGAATTGGGGGAGCCGCCGCTTCAGGTCGCGCAAGGAGATCCCATTCGCGGTGGCGGTGGATGGGTTGTTGCTGTTGGCCGGATTGGAATGGCGGTGGAGCGCGGCGGTGGCGAGGAGGAGGAGGATTGCCGCGACGCCGAGGAAGAGGAAGAAGAGGGTCGTGATGAAGATCATAATCAGGGCCTTGAGGAGTAAAGAGAGGAGCTTTGGGTTCGGCTTCGGCGGTGGTGGGTGGACGGTGCTTGCCCCCGTCGCTGCCGCCGCCGGCGGCGGGTGATCTGGATTGGAAGGCATGATTTTTTTTCGTCAAATTAGGGATCTATTTCTTTGTGGGTTCTTAACTTCTTATGGAAAGGGGAAGGAGAGGCAGAAAGAGATATTTCAATGGCTCGCAGATAAAAAAAAAAAGTTATCTTTTTTTCCTCGTTTGCAGAAAGGAACAATGGTTTGAGTTTTCCCCCGGTTTTTGGCCGCCTGCGGGAAGGGAAGAGATTGGGTTTTCTCCCCCGGTGAGTTTACGATTATGTCCCCTTTTGTATGGTCATATTTTGTGATGCAAGAGCAAGACCGCTAATTCAACGGCGCCAATGCGTTTCTTGGAAACTTCTTGCCCACTTGTTTTTTTTTTCCCTTTCCTAAGTGCGGATTTGATTCCACTAAAGAAGGCGAAAGTCAATTGGAGTTTCAAACGATTGATAATTTGAGGTACATGTAAATTGATTCAATTTGAATGTCATTCTTTTGGTTGATCGATGATAGAAATTTATTCGATGAACTTTCGTTCGAATAAGAAAATCGAAAGAAATCATTAAGTAATATTAGCAAGCCAATATTTCATGATCGATAGGTATAAATTTTTATTAGTAGAACGAGTAATGGGTACGAGTTGAAACTTGTCGTGTCTAACAAATTGACAATACTAAACCAATATAGTTAAATTCATATTTTTCGAAACACAATGCGTCGACCTTGTGAAATCGATAGATGGCATGCCAAATTGGAAAGTTTATTGGAAGGATATAATGTATTTTATTTTCTAAGGATATAATGTATATTTTTAATTTGTAAGTGATAACATTAACATATATTGGTAATGGTAGGTAGCTCATTAGATATGAAAGAATAATAGAACATTTTTAAAGCATAATGCCATGACAAGTTGTCTATAAATAAATACCCAATGGTACGGGGAAAAAAACTTTTCAAAATTTTGTTTATGGATTCGAACTCACTATCTCAAAACAACAATTATAATGCATCGTTATTTATAAAATTTATGAAGTGCCTCATAAATTCGAGTAGAAACATTATTTGCACAGCCAAATTCGACTAATTCTCGAGATAGGGTGAAGTCAGCTCATTACTTGTTAAAACTTTACGAAATACCCTTTCGTCCCGAAATTTAAAAAAAAATCCAAATAAAATATTATATTTATGCTACATTACTCAAAGTTCGAGTACAAAACCTTCTTCGCGTATCTGCCCAAACCCTTCAAATTTCAACTTGTCCAACCCATAAAAAATTGCTCGACAACTTCGATTCATCCCTTCACGTTCGAAAATCCTCCAACAACTGAATCCCGCCAACACCAATTAAACCGCCCCGAAGAACTTCTGCTTAACCTAAATAATCCATCGAAGCTAGAACTGGCCGTTCTCGAAAGATGGAAAGCGAAAGAGTGGGCTGCGCAGTGAGCAGAGGAAAAAAAGCAGAGCCTTATCCTTTGAACACTCCCGATGACGGCAGAGATTAGCCGAATCAGAGATAAAAGAGAGTGTCGGAACGTCGAATATGGTAAAGCCCATTTGTCGACTGTGACGAAGATAAGACTACTGGTGCATATCTATCTACTATCAAGTTTATCTTCCCAACTCATTTCTCATTATCAAACTATAGCATCATCCCATCATCAATGGCGTTCTGGTTTCTGAACAGAAGCAAGTTTGCAGTATTGACAAAGAAAATGCCAACGGGCCTGTGGGCCGAGTATCAATCATCGCGGCATGTTCTTGTTGTGAGGGCTTTACTTGGGCCGGATTTTATGGCCAGTCCGTTTTACAAACTAATAATAATACCATAGCTTCAAGCAAAATAATATAAGGGTTATTTCCCTTCTTCTCGTGGTTTGCGGTAAGGTGATTCTCTCTCGCCTTTGTTGTTTGCGTTGTGTACCGAAGGGTGCATTGCCATGATTAAAAGGGCTATTGCCAGGCGTGAACTTCATGGTGTTCGTATTAATTCTCGTTGTCCTCCAGACTCTCACATTCTATTTGCAGATGATTCATTTCTTTTCCTCTGCGCTTCTCGTAGAGATGCTACCTTCCTTCTTCAGGTTCTCCGTGACTATGAAAGCATTAGTTGGCAGCTTGTCAATCTCCAAAAGTCTGCTGTCTTCTGCAGTCCTAATATGTTGCAACCGGAACAAGAGGATTTGGGGAAATTTCTGGATGTTGGATCCATAGGGCTTCAAGATCGTTATTTGGGTCTTCCTTCTCTGTTAGGTAGCTCGAAAATGGAGACATTTTGTTTTGTTGAGGAGAAGTTTTTGGAAGTTCTGCAAGGGTGGAAACAACGCACTTTATCTGCTGCAGGGAAAGAGGTTCTTCTTAAATCGGCGGCAGCAGCTCTCCCCATCTACATAATGTCTTGTTTTAGACTACCAGCGGAATTAATTAAGTGTTTGAATGCACACATGGCTCGGTTTTGGTGGGGTGCCAATCAAGAACATAGGAGGATTCATTGGCGTTCTTGGAGGGTCCATTATTCAAGTAAACAAGATGGCGGTCTAGGGTTCCGGAATTTTGGTCTCTTCAACTAAGCTCTTCTTGCAAAAGTGGCCTGGCGGATTCTGCAGAATCCAACTTCTCTTTTAGCTCGTCTCTGCAGAGGGCGTTACGTTGGTTCTTCTTCTACAATCTTGGAAGCAGGAACGGGTTCCAATCCTTCATGAGGGTGGCGTAGTGTTCTCTTTGGCCAGGATCTACTTGCTCGGGGTCTTCGTTGGCAGGTTGGAGATGGGTTTTCCATTCAGGCTCTCTCTGATCCTTGGCTTCCAACCTCTCCACCATCTATTCCTAAAAAACGGTTAGGTGCTCCAACTGCTTTTCCTTTTGTTGCTGCCTTCATTGATCCTGGTTCTAAATCTTGGAATGTCCACATGCTGAAATTGTATTTTGAGGATGATACGGTTCGTATGATTCAAGGGATCCCTCTCCCTTGCCAAAGAATCACTGACAAACTGATCTGGCATTATGAAGCTTCAGGGCAATTTTCTGTAAAATCAGCCTATCACTTGGCGAGTAATTTACAGGGTCGTTCTTATTCATCCAAGCATCAAGCTTCTTTTATGGATCGTAGTTTGTGGAATTGGGTATGGAATAGGAAAGTCTCTCCTAAAATGATTTTCTTCTTATGGCAGAGTATTCATAGAATCCTTCCTACTAGGGAGGCTTTGGTTGGGAGAGGATTGGACTTAATCCCAATTTTTCCGGTGTGTGGTCGAAAAGAAGAAATAATTGAGCATCTTTTTTTTACTTGCTTGGTGGCCCGTAAGTTGTGGAGGTTACTAGGTTTTCAGGAGCTTTGGAGACGGACGGAGAAACGTTCTTTTACATATTTGTCAGAAATACGCTGAGCAAAACTAATGGTTAGGAATCAGATTATGTCATTCTCCAGGTCATTTGTTTGTTCTGCAAGTCATTTTTCAGATTTATACTTTCTGTATGTTTTTAATTTAAAAAGTTTAAACAAATTTGTTTAGTGTAACTGATTATGTTTCTTGTCTTTTCTTGAAGAGATCACGATTCAAATCCCATCACCAATGTATTTTTCCTGTAAATAAGAAAATAATAAATGGTTGTGAAGACGAATCTACCCTTCCTAATTTTGCTATGGATGCAAGGATTTTCTAATGGGGAAACACCTTTCCCATTTCACTATTCTATTAGGTTTAGCGAAAGTAACCCGGGTGGTTGAGCTTTTAGTGGGCCGGATACTATTTGGGTCCGTTTACATTAGTAGTGTATTTTCCATCCGCGTTGGGCAAACCAACAACACTCAATCTTTCCATATTTACCCATCTAAATTGCTCTAGCGTAACAATAGAGGCAGAGGAGGTTAGCCGGCTGTTGAGTCTGATGGAAAGTTTGGAGAGACGACGATGGTTGAGCGTTTAGTGGGTCGGGGCACTTATTAGGCTCGTTTACATTAGTAGTGTCTTTTCCATCCGCGTTCGGCAAACCAACATCACTTAACATTTCCATATTTACCCCTCTCTTAAAGACATATGTGCCCCATATTCACTCAAAAGTTCTGTGTTTAAAAATATTGTTACTTAATGGAAGTTATAACAATTAAGTTCATGTTAAGGATTCTACATCGCTTCTAGACATTCAAGAGTGCGATTCGGTATGCAATATTTGAATCAATGACATTTCTGTTGCTAACCATGGTGGAAAAGTCCTATGATTTTTTAGATTTAAACTTCCTGTATGTTTTTAATTGGAAAAGGTCACACAAATGTGTTTATTGTAACTGGTTATGTTTCTTATCTTCTCTTGAAGAGACCACGGTTCAAATCTCATTACTGATGTATTTTTTCTGTAAATAAGAAGTTAATAAATAACTGTGAAGACGAATCTATCCTTCATACTTTCACTCTGGATGCAGGAAATTTGAAATGAGGCTTTAAGTTTTCTCATTTGGTTTTTATTTATTGTGTAGATAATCGTTTGTGCTGAAATTGTCATTTAATTGTTTCTATCACTACAAATCACATATCAATTTAGTTTTCGATAGAGATTTTTCCAGTCGGACTGCCGATACGGTGCAATTTCACAAATCATAATACTTCTAGCTGCAATTTATCATGATGTACACTTATTTCTCGTAGTAATTTTCAAAACTCAGACCTTGTTTTTTCCATCTATCTTTTCCAATTCCAGAAGCACATAATTTTCCACAAGATATAACGTTTCATGCATTGATGATCTTAGCTAGCTCCAATCTAAATTCCCTTAAAATTCCAATTACGTGATTATGTTCTTCAAGACTTTATCTATAGCGACCGCACGAGCTAGAAGCCTGAGACTAACAAGTTGGAAAGGTCCACAGCTAGAACCTCTCCTTTAACCATCTACATTAACCTATAAAAAGGGAACGAAACCGTTATAGCTTCGCAAACTCAAATCGAACTGGTCACAAAAGATGGGGGTTATGATCAAAAGTTTAGCTTTAGCGACGGTTCTTCTGGTCGTCGCCTTTGTTCCCTCCCCTGCTTCGGCCATCGCCGGAACAGCCACTTTCTACACAACTTACGTCCGTAAGTTACTCCACGAAGCTCTCCTGCGTACGTAGCACATAGTTTGTTTGTAAAACTGTCTTTGTTTTGATGTGTGTTTTATCATTTATGGCAATGCAGCGTCGGCTTGCTATGGATTTGAAGACCAAGGAGTGATGATAGCGGCGGTGAGCGACCCGCTCTGGAACAACGGGGCAGCCTGCGGCAGGATGTACAACGTCAGGTGCACCGGCCCGAGGAACTGCAAAGCTGGAAGCGTGACCGTTAGGGTCGTCGATCGTTGTCCGTCTCCTGGCTGCCAAGTCACCCTCGATCTCTCCCAGGAAGCCTTCACTCAGATCGCCGATCCTGATGTTGGCCGGATCAACATCGAATATAACCAGTAAGTTGGCCATCCCATCTCTTATGTTGCTTGCTCTACGAGCACGGATCGATCGATTCTCGGCTGTTGAAGTTTGTCTTGCTTTCTGTTTCTGTATGTGCAGGGTTTAGAGAGCATGGTGGAGAAGAGAGACCAAGATTTGAAAGCACCAATCATATGTAATAATGTGCAGCTGAATAAAATGTAAGGAGCACATGTGTATGTAGTAGTGTTCAATGTGCCGGATTACAGAATAAACGTAATGAACACAAAGTATTCGATAAACTCATGCTGATCCACCTATCCACACGTAGAGTTGATTCGTACCAGGTATTCGACTTAAGAGAAAGAGTGTTAGGTTTCTGTATAATGAACTACAAGAAAACTGAGTTTAGCAAATATGAACATGGTTGATGATCAATGGCGGCCCTAGGAAAACCACACAAACCGTAGAACACATATGTTCCTGGTAAGTCTGGAAGAGAAGAAAACCATGAAAAGTCTTAAGCGTTGACGGCTGATTTGAAGTGAAACTCATCGATTGAGGAGTACATAAAGCCGTTGTCAATAAGGGTGTCAATTCCTTCCCTGTCCAAAGACGTGTAAAAAAAAAAACAAGAAGGTCGATGGCGTTAGAAAAGTTCGTCTGAGGTAGGCATGTGAGAAAGGAGAAGAGGCAAGAAAGGCGTCAGAGCAAGAGACGGACCTGATAATATGCATAGGAAGGTTAAGCTGGAGAGCAATGGTCTCTTGATGCACTCCCTCTTCAATAGACCTGCAAAGAAGTACAGATCGAAGGGCCCTTGAGGAGGGTAATTGATGGAGGCATTAGAGATAGTTTCTGATGTAGTAACTCACAGATATTGAGGCTGTTTAAGCAGGTCTAGTATCTTGCATCCCAGGTCATTGATCCCATCACCACCCTGAAACGCGGCAGCAGGCTGCAAAGGAGAGGAAGCGAAGTAAGCACAAGACGATTGATTAATCATAGGGGCCAACCCAACAATTGACTTGATGACAAACAGACCTGATTCAGAGGGGCAGACTGAAGTCCCCTTGAGAAGTTGTTGCTGCTTGGTGGAATGGAATTTGTCAATGGTGCTCCCTACAGTCCACATCACCATAGTGTGCATTAAAACAAGCATTTCCAATTGAAGGACTACTACGATGTGATTTCAGTAACCAGAGAGCAATACCTTCATCTTGGTATTGTAGAAGTGGACGTATATGCACTCGATCAAGTGGCTCGCCACCTCATTGAAATCGGTAACTGGCCTGAGAACCACATCCAAATTCGAAATCAAGACTTAATAAACAAGGCAATCTATGTGCAAATATATTTATGAAAAAAGAAGTCAAAATACCAACCTAATAGAGAAGACATTGATGAATCTTCTGCCCTGCAAGCTTCTCAAGTGTCCATGAACACGGACATAAGTTCCGATTCTGTAGGTGGAAGAAATCAAAGGCGTGTAAATAGATTTCCCGGTGCTTTTGAACACAGTTACTAACCATAGAAGTCTAGAAAAAATGATGTAGAGATGCATACGAGATTCCTCCGATTTCTTCATTGTCAAGAGGTTCCTGAATCCTATATAAAAGCATGTAAACTGCATTACTCTGCTGTGCATATAAAACCATTAGAATTTAGACATTGTGAACAGTTTCTATGAAGCTTACCATTTGCAGCATCCAATCACTCCTGTGCCATCATCGACGAGAAAAGTGAACTCGTTCAATTTGTCTTCCTTCCGACACACCCTCCCCACCACAACAACCTAAAAGATACTCTATCAATCCATCCCCGCACGGAAAAAGAACACTCACAAAGATATACGAACAAAGGAAACACTCCAATCTGCAGAACACTTACAGTGTTCACAACAACACCATCAACAGTGAAATTGGACTCATCAGTATTCGCTAGCTCGCTCATCTGTTTAACAGTAAGCGGCAAAAGGACCTTGGAGTCTCGATTCTGTCGAAAAACCAAAAGAGCAACTTTTAAGATTCACGAACAAGCAAGCAAGTAAGTAACACCCCATTAACACTATCATACTCAGTCTTCACAAGTCTCCAACTTCAGGTCACCCAGCCCAAATTTTGCAGATACCGACTTCCACCCACTTAAGAACAATGACCTATCTATCAAAACCATGTAAATCAGACAAAACAGGGCAACAACCGCACAACCCTAACCAGCTAAGCAGCCATGTCAATCTCAATCAAGGGGGGAAAATTACACGGACAGATTAAGCAAAATCCCCAAAATGGAACCGTCCAAATCAACAAACTTGGAAGATGCTAAAGCTACTATCCACCATTTTTCCTACCGGAAGGGTAATCATACTGGCTAATGAGAAATCGGTCATCTGAAAGCTGTGAAAAGCGAGGGAAAATGGTGGGTTTCTTAAGGGAAAGGGGAAGTAGTCGAGGGGTACCTTGGAGGCGGAAGAGGATGCGAAGGAATCGTGAGGTTGAGTGGCCTGAGAAGGCATGAATCCGCCGCCCATGAACGCCGCCGCGCCTCCATCGAATTCGCTTCCGCCGTACATTACCGCAGCAGCTTCTTCTCCTGCACTCTTTTCTCTTCTTTTTCCCTCGCTTTCTTCTGCACTGAATAGCGGAATCGCGCTCGGTTTTCCCTCGCTTCCTTTTTGACAGGAAGAGCTCTGAATTTGGGCTACCGAATGGGCCCAGTAACCCCGAAGCCCAACTACGATTCGGTGTTAGTTTCATTCCCTCTTCCATTTGCTACGGATTGTGATGAACCAGAGGAGTCAAAGACGTAGACTGGTAAGTAACACCTCCAACCAAACGACACATCACTATTATCCGAGGAGCCTTCTATGACCGAGATGAAGACTGATTTTCGTGTGGAAAATTTTTATCAAGAGAGTTTGGTGTATGTTTTCAAGATTATTCTGACTACATGAAGACTAACCGAATCATTTGGTTCTGACAAAGAGCGAGGAAGAAGACAAGGAATACTTAAGTGAACTTTCGACCTTTCAATGATTTCAGAGCGTTCGCTTGTTAAGTATAGAATCAAAGAATGAATTTTGGACTTTGAAAATACTTCACTTAGTGGGTTTGGACCCAAAAGTTTGCCACGTAACTTTGACTGTATACTTCTATATATTGGGATCAAGCAAAGCTTAGAAAACCCACAAAACCGAAATTCACCAATTACTCGATCGATCGATCAAATACAAAATGGAGCATCAGCAGCATCACCATGGCACCATCACCAAGCTCACCATCACGACAACAATGGTGGGATTGTTGTTGCTCCTCTGTCTCATAGACACCACAGAAGCTGCCCAAGGCCTGGCCGTCTTCCACCTCAAGAACACTCGTAGATACCCACTTCCCTCTTTCATCAGAACTCAGAAGCGAGTTGAATGTTTCTGATGGAGTCTTTTTTCTTGTCTAAACGTTACAGCTTCAGCCTGCTACGGGAACCAGAACGAGGGAGACATGATAGCCGGGGTGAGCGACAAGCTCTGGAATAACGGCCGAGCTTGTGGGAGGAGATACAGAGTCAGATGCGTAGGCCCTGCAAACTTAGTCCGCAATGCTTGCAAAACCACCACTGCAGCCATTATAGTCACTGTCGTCGATTACTGCAAGGCCTGCACCGGCGACCTCAACCTCTCTCGCGGTGCGTTCTCGAGAATCGCTAATCCTGATGCTGGAAAAGTCCGAGTTGCATATGATCCGTAAGTATATAACATCTGTGTCGCTACTTGCTATACAGTTAAACCAACCCACAAGTAGGGATCTTGACGAATTACAGCTTTTCTGTTGCAGGATCTAATGAAGTTCTACAGGGCATATGCAGACGGTGATAATTACGTCTTAAGTTCCTACCACAATAAGAGGGAGAGATCATATAGTTACTTAACCATCAATAAAAATACTGTATGTTATGAGCGGATTTAAGTACGAAAATAATCGAGAATCATGTATCAGCTGGAGAACAACATGAGGATGTAATAATATACAGTTTCAAAGCTAGTTCTATTAGATACAAATGGTATTCTTTGTATGTGCACAATGTTGAAGAAGACAAGGGAGGAATTTTTACATGATCATACCAACCAATCCTGTATATCTGACAGACCAAACCACAACAGAAGCCTACGAGGGCGATCGAGGAACCTGGCTTGCCATGCCGGCTCATCGTTCTCATAAGTAAACCCGCTTTTCATGTAGAGATTCTTAGCCGGTTCGTTGTCTACGGCAACATGGACATACATATCAGAAATGCCTGCAAGGTTTGAAGTTGTGCTAAAATTAGGACCAAAAGGCACAAGTACTGATGGAAGGAAAGGACTTTGGAGTAAAAGTTTCCCTTACTAACCCCATTCTCGAGCGACGATTTTCGACTTGGAAATGAGTTCTCGGCCTAACCCGTTTCGGTGAAGCTCCTTGGCTACACATACATTGCTCAAGTATGCCCTGGCAAAATCAGCTCCAATCCCCTGATGCAGAAGCCTTTAATGAATCAAGTTACCATGGAAATTCTACACCAGCTAACCAATCAATCTCCTCTCAACTACCTCGGGTCTCTTTCCGGTTATCTCATCAGGAAGTCTTAGACATTGATTGAGATCAAGAGTTCCAACCACCACTCGATCTTCTCCATTGTCGGTATACTACAAGATCAACAAGAGTACAGTTGCTAAGAAACTTATCTACAACACTACAATAAGCAAAAGAAGCATTAAGAACAAGAGATTTTCATTCTCAAACTCAGTTGCTTCATATGAGAGCTTCACACGTTTAAGTTCACCCTTGCTCAACCCAAAAAACCCTGAATTCTCTAAAAAACCAGACCATTCCAAGTTCCATGCTTTCCCTTAATGGAACTTCAGAAACCCCCCCAATAACAGGCCATTTATAAGAGGCAACCAATTTTCCTAAAAGTTTCACACATTGAACTTAACCACTGATCAGCCCCAAAAAAGCAGAATCCTCAACCAAACCACGCTATTAAAATTCCATACTTTCCATTCATAGGAGGCAATCCTGAACAGCTGAACATTCCATCACAAACTCAAACAACCCATCAAATTTGCAGGGGAACTATGAAGGCAAGAACATCAAACCTTACATTCGTCGCAGAAATCTTCGAAAAACTCAGTGAATTGGGACAAAGGGAGAGTGGCATTGAGGCAGGACACCCTTCTAAACATCGGCCGCAACCCATCAATGCGTTCCTTCATCGCTTCATACTCTCGCTCCGCTAGGTACTTCTTATGATCCTAATTTCACAACCGGAAATGTGTAAGTTCCCAACTACAATCGAATCAATTTCTCAAAGCTCTTCTCAAAACCCAAAAATCTAATAGCTCCTTCAACGGCGGCGGACTCACCTCAATGCCGAAAGACGACGAATTGAGCTTGTAGAAGGATCGGACTCGGAGGCGGGCGGCTGCCCAGAGCTCGTCGTCGGAATCGGCGACGGAGATTGAGAGGGTTGACTTGTCGAGCGAGTGAGGGGAACATACTTCGGAGGAAGCTGCTGCTGCGGTTGGTCGGAGGCGGGGAAAGCGGTAAGAAGAAGAAGAGATGGGGTTGTAGGAATGGCGACAGTGCGGCGGTGGCGAACAGTTCCGGCGAGAGAAGGAGAGACCGGGAGGGATTGCCGGGGAAGGAGAAGAGGAAAGGAGCGCCATTTTTGCTTCTGGGCCGCAGATTCTTGTTCTTCCCTGGATTGAATTATCCTTTTTTTTTCTGCCGCCAGAATTTGTGTTTTCCCGGATTCTTAGTGTCTTTGTCTGTTTTTTCCGTTTTTCTTTTCTTATATTCTAATATATACATTGGTTTAAAATTACATTATTTATTATCAATTCATTCCAATAGCTCAACTATAAAATATAATTTTTGCAATAAAAGTGGTTAGTATTGATTGCAAAAAAGTCATTCTAATATATACATTCGATAAGTGTTGTAAATAATCTCTAAGATAAGTATTCTCTACCCATTTATCTTTTCTCTCATTTCGATGAATTTTTAGATTTTTTCATTACACATTTTCGTTCATCTTGTTTTGCCCATTTGTCGATTCTTTGGTGCATATAATAAAAATATTAACAAGGGCTAAAAGAAGTAGCTCGCCATAAAACTCAACTCAAAAGCTACTAATCCTCTTAGAAGACGATGATTATGAGCCATTTGGATGGAAAATTTTTATAGTCAATTTAACCAAACTATCCCCTATCTTATAAACAATTGTTCTAAATCCAATCGCGACGTTTCTAAATTGCTCTATTCAAATCACCCGTAATAGGTTCTAAACACTCCTAGAACCCAATTTAGTGCCACGAAAACCGAAACAAAGAAAATTTCTTTCTTAATGGAATCCACATTTTTGAACTTCTTCTTAAGTAATAGGTTTTGCATACACACTCCATATTCACAGCACTACACCACAATTCCACACTTACAAAATGGAATGACAAAAGCAAATCAGTAGCCTCTCCCTGTGGGTTGGTTTCCTTTTGGGACAAAAGTCTTTCAAGTTTCATGCAAGTTGAATAAGGAGAAGAGAAAAAGAACAAAGGAGCTAAATGCAACAGTGGAAAAGGACAATGCCTGCCTCTTGCTTTGTCTTCTGTACTGCACATAATCAATTTCCTTTGTTCTTTTTGCTTATTATTATTAGTTTTATTACCCTTTTGTTGTTAGTATTAAAAGTTTCAAAATTTGAAAGAAAAATTAATGAATCTTGGCCGTGGACTGACACAGATTGACCATGAGTAGTCACATCCCCAAAGGGTTGTGATGATTATAATGAAAGAAACAGAGGAGAGAAAAGCAGCAGCAGTAATAAATTCAAAGCCTGCACAGAGCTTTGAAACTGCTGTGAAATCCTAACACCACATTTTACAGTGTTTGATTCACATACCAGACCTCTCTCTCTCTGTAGTCCAAGTCATGAGTTTTAAATGCCTGAAAATTTTAGAAGTAAGAAAAACTATATGGAGAGACCAGTAAAAAGATGGAAAAGGATAGTGATTTATTGGGAAAGAAAAGGTTTTGGTTTTTTGCTTTGGTAATTGGTGGGTTAAAGCCTAAAAGGACTAGCCATTAGCCAAATCTCTGTAAGAAAAAAGCCCTCTGGTGCATCAAAAGATATGGTTATGGCAGGGGAGATCCAACATTGGACACTGTGTTCTTTGGTTCTGCTCCTCATAAGTCATTCCATTCCTACAGATTTCAGAACCCTAGCAGCAAGCTAATAAAAACCCACAGAACCTTTGTTCTTTGTAGTCTCAAGACTTGTCATCTTACAAAACCCTAGCTTAGCTAATGAGCTACAATACCTAGCTGAATCCATTGCTCATTAGTTTGAGCCTGAAGAAAATGGGGTTCTGATGAGCTCCTACTTAAAGAAATCAAAAAGAGATGGAGTAGACTAATCAAAGCCTTCAATGATCTTACCAAAAAGAAAAAAGCCTTAAAATGGCTGGTTTCATGTGGGTTGCCAACTTAGCAAGCAAAGCATAAAGCCTGTTTTTTGGGGTCAACTATAAATTTGACAGCTCAAAAGATTGAGGTCACTAAACTTTGATTTTTAACGAATTTGAGAGTTAATCTTGTGGTAGCATAAAAGTCAGTCACTTTCTTTATTCATCTTCATCGAGGTTTCAGTCTAAAATTGTATTTCGTTTATGTTTCTAAAATTGTTAATATTTGTATATTAACTCCACTATATTAATAACGACAGTCATACCAGTAAATGAACTATTGTGATTGGAGAAAATGTGATATTTAAGTGGTTATTATAGTTACTTTATATTGAAAGTTGGGTACAGAGTAACAAGTGCGGTCTGCATCAAGTATGGTCATGACAATGTGTCTTTCGTATCAACTTATGACGAGTCTATGCTAATGTGACCATTCCAATCACTCAGTTTGGTTTGAGTTACGTTGGAAGACTAATGCTGACATTTTGGACGAAAAATCTTAATCGAGATGGACGTAAGTATAACGATCGTTTTTTTGTAATCCCCCCCCCCCCCCCCTCCCCACAACTTTGAGTGACGTCCTTGTAAACATCAAATTCTGAAGCTAGTGACCAATTTGTCAATGACCTCAAAGTTTAGTGACCCTTGAAGCATGCATGTCTCTCATTGACAACAACAACCATAATAACTATATCACCATTTTGGCAATGTTATAAGCATTCATCATTCTTTCAAAAAAAAAAAAAAGCATTCATCATGACTTGCATGGAATGGAGCTTCTTCCACCACGAGATGTCAACACCAGACATTAATTTATAATGTGTACTGATGATGTCCCAGAAAATGTCAAAGGCTCGACGTCCCTCCTCCTCCTCCTGCTGCTGCTGCTGCTGCTGCTCTGTCCCTTCGCCAAGTGCCATCATTAACTTTGGGTCGTTATTTGTAGTAATAATGATGGCTGACCTGCTTTGCTCCAAAATATGCCCTTTTGCATGGAACTATCGTCTTACATTTTAGGTAAAACTTGGCTAAAAACAAGCTCAAAGGTTATGGTAGTGTGAGTGTGACAGACAGCATTGCCATAATAATGCAGCAGGGTGCCAAATGAGAGAAAGGAGTTGATCATCTACATATGCATGGTGAAAGAATCCAACAAGATTGAATTCACTTGCATCACTTTGTGGACGATGCATGATTTGCTTGTGAAAACTGCATTCATGGTGATGCTAATCGTTGGAGATTTAATGGCATACTCGTTAAAAGATAGTACTAATACAATCATGTTGTTCCGACTTTGGATACACAACTGATCACATGCAATGCCATGAACTTTTAAAATTGTTAAAAATGTTCATGATGATGAAGGTTCGAATCGCATCAAATAGTACTTTTGAGCTACCATTTATGCACTTGTGATTCATATTGTTCTTAAATATCTCCTATAGGAAAATTGAGATGTTTTGAGAGTTCCTGAAATTGGTATTGGACCTTTATTGACCGATAAATCTCGTAATCTTGCGCATTAAGAGGTCATTGCCGTACAAAATACGAGAACCATCATCTCACAGGAATTCGAGTAATGTGGATGAATGAACAATTCTACACACACTCACCAATAGTTAAAAAAGTTTGGGTCTCAAAGTCAAAATTTTATAGGATTTTACAGGGTGGTAAAAAGGTATATAATATATATATATATATACAAGGATTGGTCAAAGACAATGTATAGTACTATAGTATATACTACAGCTTTCACTTATCAAAATATATTGTTGTACAATAATAGCTACCAATTGATAGTTAACTTTGTACTTCCACATGCACCATCTCAACATATTCTTCTTCTTCCTCTTCCTCCTCCTGAGGCCCTTCTCTGTCTCTTTTTAATGCTGTTCACTGCTTGACAGTGTGAAAGTTTTTGGAAAGAGATTTGCAGAGTCTGAAGAGTCCCCAATCTTTGCGTAAATGAGAGGGTAAAAGATACTATGTTCTGATCATCCAGAGACAGATAGAGTACTTGTGAGAGAGAATAGAATCATAGATGGTGGTGTTAAGTCACATTACACCTTTCTGATGATAATCTTCTTCCTTCCTTCTTCCCTCTTTAGCTTCTTGGGTTCCTCTCCTCTGTATAATCCTAGACTTCTCACTAAGTCAGAGACTGGAGAGAGAGAGAGAGACCAAAGTTCGAATTCTTGTCATTTGTGAATTGGGTTTTAGCTTTTTTTTTCTTCTTGCATGTGGGAAAATAGGAAAACGAATTCTATGCATGCATGGATGAGGTCTCAAATTTAAATTTTGGAAGTTTCAAAATTTGGTTAGGAATTAGAGTTGTATTATAGAGTTTAAATCTCTCAAATTATGAAAACACAATGGAAATAAAGAGGATAAGATGAAATAATGCATATGATATATAACTACTAAAAAATAAGCACGATACAAAGATTATAACTTTATCTTATTATATTGTTCGATTAAGATGATGTCAATTATTTGAGTAGTTTTCTCTTATTAACAACATACGTTTTGCTCACTAATAGCCTTTGAATCACTTGTGCCTACATTGCTTGTTATATCTATCTTCATTCGTCTATTTGTTCCCCCTTTCTATATATCGTATTACACTCGAACGCCAGTACTGTATGTAGTGTCGAATTTGATCATTAAGACTCAAATACGCCAATGTACATCTATTGTAGTATTGTTGAGAGTAATGCTTACTATTAAGCTAATGAATAATGAACAATTAGATTAATAACTATTAGGAAGAAGATGGTATAAGAGTATTGATGTACTTACTAGTCCATGTCCATAAGACCATAACTCTTCTCTATTGAGAAACCAAAAACATATTTTTGGGAATGTCAGTACCTTTTCCTGATTTCCATATTTACTTCTTTCAGAAAACCAAAACCAAAAACAACAAATACATCTCTCTAGTCTCTGCCATTTTCCTCTATATAAACTCCATCCATCCCTTCACAAACCATCTGCTCTTTCCCTCTTATATCACTTCATCTATTCCCTCACCTTCCTATTTCATTCACCTCTGTCTCATCTTCTTCTCCTTCATCTTCTTCCCACTTGCCTCCTTCATTTCTCTCACTTCCAGTCCCATCTTCTTGTAACAGAATTCATTCCAAAAACCAACCTGTCAATGGCTACTTCAGCTGTTCATTCATGCACCTCGTCCCATGATGTCTGTATCCTCCCTCCATCGAACTTCAAGTACTGGAGGTTGAGAATGACTATGTAGTCTTAACACCGACGCTATCCTGATCGAGCTTATGTTTTAACCATGTGCATCAGAAGTTATTCTTTTCCGATTTTTATGTTCTCTCATTTCGTTTTCTTGACCTTGCAAGACTTTGTAGATATCTTATTTTAGTATTTTAATTTTTAATTACATTTAGTAAGTTAGTTTTTTCGTTTACGTAATTAGTAGATGTATCACGTTTTTTCACCTTTGCTATCCCTCTTGAGCTTGAGCCTCCATTGGCTAGTTGGAAATGTAATTATCTTTCTCTTTAATAAAACAGAGATTGAACTAATTGTTTGTAAGTTTGCAGTTATGAGAATCCAACCTGGTCTGTTTTGTTTAATGGTTCTGGTCTACTAATGGTGGCTTCAGTCCTTGTTTTGTATACTGTTCTACACTTTCATCAGCATTATTCAAGTCACAGTGGTAACAATCTCCATGGAAGTGTGTGTACTAAAGATCGAAACTTTCTGGAAACCCCATGTAGAAAAACTGGAGAAATGGGGAAATTCAGTTTCATGGATTAATATATCAGCCACAAGAAGCAGCTTAAACTTAAGACCTTTAACAAAAGTTACATGTAGTATATATGATTATGGGTGTGTTGTGTTTCTTTCTTTCTTATGTACAAAGAGGAATCAAGCTTAAAGTACCACAAATATTCCATTCTCTGCAGCTTCTTTCTTTCACTTCTCTCTCTTTCAGATATTTACAGTAATCCCTCAAGAGTATCACATTCTAAACAAGCAAAAAAAAAAAAAAGAAAAATTGATTCAGCACCATAGGCAAAAATTGGCACAAAAAGGTGATTCATATGAAGACCTTTTGGGTCAGCAACCACTCCCTATGGTGACATACTGATTCAGCGTCGACATCCAGGACCTCCTTCGCTCGTGGTTAGAACCTGATCCCCTGAGCCTCGACCTTGAGCACCTCACTAGCTGCTCCCTGATGCTTGGATCAACAGAGGAAGGAATCAACGATGAATCTGTGTCTTGTGCTCCAATGCACCTGCTGGTGTTGAACTTCATCGAGGGGAACTTTTGGCAGCTTAATGACCGGAATGAGGATGACCTCGTGCACTGGAAGTCTGGTTTGCACAATGGTGCATTCAGCAAGCTTGGTTCTAGGTCCTCCGATGAACAAGCACAGAATGGGAGTGACAAGGTTGTTCTGTGTCCCATGGACTTTAGGGCTGCCCTTGTTCCAGGGAGCTTGGCGAAGGAGACTATCCCATGGCGGCATAATGGGCATGGAATTGAGCCCGGGGGACCTTGGGAAGCCATTGAGGTGCATATTGTTGAACATAGGTACAATGCACAACGAGTACAGAACTCGTGGTTGCATCCTGCAAAACCAGAGAAAATTAGGATTCTGAGCTCTTTGAAATGCAGATCAATCAATGTGCATAGTCGAGTGAGGTTCATGTTTAAATAATTTGGAAACTTTGTACCTTCTGCAGCAACAGTGCACCTTGCTTCGAGGCATACAACACATGGGTCCTGACAAGAAGGAAGGAGATCATTGTTCCGCCACCCACATTCCCTGAGGAGAAACAAGAGAACAATAGGATCCCGAGCTCTTCGAAACACTAATAAATTTGCATCACCATCATCATATAATATCAGCTTGATCCACTAACCGGGCAATTTTAACGATGCTCATGAGAGGAATCGAGAGATAAGGACACATCTGCTGCTGGTGTTGCTCTGCAGGTTGGCTACTAAGAATTTCCTCGAGCTCATTTCTATGCCATGATCTAGCAACCATTAAAGCAGTCCATCTTGAAAGCAGAGGAAAACAGAATGCAGGTTAACTCAACTGCTTTTCTTACTATTTAGAACATACATTGATCGAGCTATAGAGACATTTACCCATTTGCGTTTTCAGCATCAAGACAGGAACCCTTGGCAATCAATATCTGAAATTACATTTAAGCAAAACATGTTAGAACCTTCTCCAGCATTCATTGTATTGTGATAAGCTGAGGGTTTTCATATCAACACGTACTTGGCAGCATTGTAAGTTTCCACCACAAGCAGCGTAATGGAGAGGTGTGCTTCCAGCTCCTGCAGATCATCAAACTCTTAACTTGATTGTGAAGAAAGCTACAAGTAATAAATTGGCATAAAAATGCAGCTTAGAATGAACTCATATTCTAAGAATTCTCATCAACCAAGACCGATAAGAGCACGTAGCTAGAAGATTCAGATTTGAAACCATCTAGTTGCATTCAAACATGGATCAAACAGAAGAACTATGACTTGATTCGACAGCTTTTCCATCGTAATTACCTATCAGATCAATGGTGGTCCCATCTTCCACGGTGACTTCAGAGACAGAAGCTCCCAAATCCAGAAGCAACTGAACAGTTTCTACGTGTCCATTTAGTGCAGCCATGTGCAGAGCTGTGATTCCCCCATCAGCAGGTTTGTTGATAACCTCATGGAGGGCACTGATGCATAGTTCACCAAAGGTCAACATGATTGAAAAAACACAAGTTGCAAAGAAGCGCAAGAGCAGCAATTCAAAAGAGCTCAAGTAAAAGGAAGCGGTCTCTACCCCTCATCGAATTCGGAGATCAACTCCTTCTGCGACGATTCGTTGCTGCTCCTCAACAGCTCCCAACAATCGGGAATACTCGGGATGTAATCGGTGAGAAGCAGGCGTATGCATCTCGTGTGACCATTCAGGCTAGCCAAATGTAGAGCCGTACCACCATTCAGATAATCTGCTCTGTGAATCTGAGAGTTCGAGTACTCAATTTTACAAATGTTCATATCCAATAATCAACACAGTAATACAAAGTAAAACCCAAAATACCCGCTCACATTAGCTCGAAAGAGGATCAGAGTCAGAACAACTTCCCAATGGCCATGCTGGCAAGCTTGCATCAATGCAGTCTGTTCATTCAATACCAAACAATCAAACTTACCATTAGTGAAGATCTCATCAAATTCCATTAAACAATAACAAAAGCTACTCAATTTACCATAATTTACCTGGCCACGGTAGTTTCTCAGGTTGATATCAACACCAGACTCGAGCAATAGTGAAACTATCTGCGAGGAAAAGGAAACAAAGCAAATGACCTTTCTTTCCCCAAATGAATCAATGATCGAAGAATGAATTTGTTTCTTCTTGTATACCTCATGGTGCCCTTGAGCTGCAGAGTAATGAAGAGGGGAATTCCTGACTCCAAAAGTAGAGTATCTGGCTAGCCTTGGATTCCATTCAAGCAAGGCTTTAGCTTCCTGAAGATCACCATCTCTGGCAGCTGAAACTAATCTTTCCCCAGATGCTGAACAGCCAAATGAATTCCCCACCAGGCTCAGAAACTTCATCGTCACAAAAAACAACAGAATTTCCCCTTCTTCTTCCCCCACCTGGGCTTCAACACACACAGAATTCAACTGTTTACACATCCATCCATGAAAAGACACCAGAAGATCAGGGAAGGAAACCCAGAAAGAATAAACAACGAAAGAAAGAACTGTTATTTTCTCCCATATACCAAAAATCAAATCTCAATTCAGTGAAATCTGCAGACAATTGGGGGCCTTTTCCGCCTGCAACCAGAATCTCACTGCCCCTTATTTTCCCTGATGGATTCTCCAAATCCTCCCACAAGTGAATTTGAGAAGAGAGAGAGAGAGAGTCCTAACAAAACTACAACCCACTCTTTCCTTCTGTCTCTATTTACTCTGGAGCTCTAACTGTTCAAAGTGGCAGAATGGAAGGAAGAAAGCGATGAATTATGGAATCTGGGATTGTGACCCGACCCGAATTTATATACGTTAGTTGAAAAGGAACAATCCCCTCTCCCTCTCCCTCTCCCTTTCCCTTTCCCTTTCCCTTTCCCTCTATCTCGTGAACTCCGAGAAACCCACCATAACAAACAACAAAGCAAATACTACAAACCAAGAAATGACATCCTTTTACATAAAGAACCAGACTTTTTCACCTCAGAGAATCAGACAAACAGCCGCACCCAAAAAGAAAAGCCCAGGTAAAGTTTTTTACCTAAGAATCAAAACTTCTCCAATCCGCAAGGGAAGAATCGGGGAAATCCCTACACGCCCAAAAGCTCTTACAAGCCTTTTCCTTCCTCCACACTGGAAATTATGAAGAAATCACAGCACGCCCATTCAAGAAAATTTCAGCTCATACAGTAAATCCCCATTCAAACCAATTTCTTCCCCAGATTGATTATCATCAAGAACAATGGAACAAAACCCAGGTCAAGGATTGTCTCCTTGAGCCACGGGGTGGCAGAAATCCCAGGAAAAAAAAAACGGAGTAACTGAGGCTTTAAAGGAAAACCAATTTGTTTTCTCCTTCCAAATTACAGCCTGCAAAAATGGTTGGAAGGAGATGGAGGGAAGGAATTAAAAGATGGGGATGGAAGAAAAAGAGAAAAAAGAAGAAATTATATATATGGTGTAGGAATTGTCTATAAAGGAAAGCTCTCGTGTAGATCGAAAGGAATGAACTTTTTATTTTGAGGATGTTTGTTTTATGTTTTTCTGTGTGTGTGTGTCAGAAAAAGGCGCGTTCTTTGTGCAGTAAGAGATCGAGGCAGAGAGCTAGTACAAACGTTGGCGCCATGGAAGCGCAAAGATTCTTTCATAGCAGTCAAGAGTCAACCTTTCGGTTCTGCTGCCTGTTGGTTAAATTGGTTTCTGTATTTTAATCCCATTGTGCTATTTTTATTTGGCGAGTTATGGAAGCAACAGAAGGGGCTCAAAGGACAAATTCAGTAATTTCAGGGCTTGTTTGGCATTTTGGGAACAACTTTGGGAGCTTTGTGTCGTGCCTGAGTGGAAGGCCTGCTGGTCTTTGTGGGATTATTACAATAGTAGTCATTGAACTGTAAGTTTTAAGCAAATTTATCACTAAAGTTTGGAAGAGCTAAAGACATGGTCTCACTCACAACATGGTCATTCAGTCCATCTTCGTCAAAAAAAAAAAGAAGGTCTAAGTTAAAGTTGTCGAAATTGACAAACCAATTCAAAAAACATAACATAAATTCTGATAGCAACGATATGTTTCAACGCATACTTGACCCCTTTAACCTAGATGATTGTCCAAAAACCAAAATCACCTTAATCCATCCCCATGATATATAACTTGTTATAGGGTTTATATGATCTTTTCTTTTCTTCTCTTCATTTTGATGATTATGGCGTACTGATTTGATGAGCCCAAGGATGGGAACTCGTTTCAGAATCTCACAGCGGGAAACAAAGGAGTCGTGATGGTGGTGATCTCGTAGTAAAAACAGAGGGTGGAATCGATGGAAAGTAGAGGAACCAGGTCAGCAACCTCAACACAAAGGGGAGGAGGCTAACGTGGGTAGATTCACCAATCAATCAAGGTGAATACTTGGCTTGATTGATCTGCAATCCTTGGCCAAAAACCAAGAAAACCTAGCTCGCAAGCTAGGGAAAACTCCTCGGAGTAATTTTTGATTAAACTAAAAAATGTCTCTTACAATCAATGAAAGAGGCTATTTATAGCCACGAAACAACCTAACATAATCCTAATTGAACAATTAAACAAATTCAAGTTAAACAAAGAAAGGAATTCGATCAAACAATGAAACTTGTCAACCAAGCAACAATCTTCTTCACCAAGTAAGCTGCCAGGAAACAACCTTCATTCCATCTTCAATCTCCTGGAAAAATAGCCTTCCATTTCGAGTCGAGGTCAGCCAATCCCTTCTCTGGGTTTAGAAAGTTGCACTCTTCTATTCCCAACTCGAATCACCAGTTGGTTGTACCCCGAACTCCACAAATGTTGCTCCAAAGTAGGTACCTGAAACTCAGTTTGTGCCTTGGCCCAAATCAGACAGTTTTCAGATTGCAGGATATGATTTTGAGCAGCTCGAAGGACTCTAAGTTGTAGAGGAACATCCAGGCTTTAAAACAATTCACTAACCCTGCATTTTCAATGAATCATTTGGACGAAACATCCCTCCAAAGTAGCCTTCCTAGAACTGTTCCAACACTTAGAAATTTTCCAGCTTGTTTCCCATCAAGTTGATCCGATCTTGGAGTGATGAATTGGAACTTGTAGGGTGATGGATTTGAGATCATATGATGATCGAATCTGAGTCATCGATGTAACTAACCCGTACTTTGTGACTTTGTCGATAGTTTTAATATAGAGCTTGGAGTTTTTCTCTTGCATGCCCCCCTCTCCCCCTCCCCTCCAATCTAATAGCCTACCTATCGGGCGCCAATAAAAGACTCTTATCATAAATATAGCTTATGCAATGTTGAAGAAGAAAATAAGCACGAAGTTGATTGTCCAATTTAAACCAAGAATCTTGAAACTAAGACGACTCTGTCATAGAATCATTTGAACTAGTTAGAAGTATGTTTATTTCCTCCTACCTTCTTTCTTTCTAATGAATACTTAGTAGTAAATGATGTTTATGATTGAACTTGCTATGCTTTAGTGTTAAAGGGTACTCAATGGTGTTTCCCTTTACACCCTCTAACCATATTTACTTAAAAGGGACCCTATGAATTTGCTTCATCACACGGGAAGTCCAACCCTTATTTTCTCCTCTTACTTCACCAATATATTTTCATGCATCTTTCATCGCCAAAGTCACAAATCCCAAACGGGCGATCTAATAATAATATGTGAGGTAATTTATAGAAACTTTGTTTGCCCAACCATCCACTAGAAATACTATTGGATATGGGATCCAAATAGGTATGAGAGTCAAAATGCTTGCTTGTGTTTGTGGCAATGAATAAATTCTCTCCTTGTTTATTTTTTTAAAAATAAATTCTCTCCTTATATACTACAACTAAAAAGGATTTAACTTCTTTATCAACCACTACCTATACATGAGTAGTAACTAGCAAGGTACTTTTGACATTTGTTCTTTGGAGAAGGAAAAAAGAAACCCCCACTTATATATGTTATTACCTATTAACCATACCATAAGGACTTGATTAAGAGACAAGTTATTTTCCTAGTACCTAATGTGATCCAATTAGATAGAAGTGAGTGATTCGGGTGCCCAATCGGGATCTCATAGGCTTATCATATGTATTTAGATCTCGGACATCACTTTTTCATTTGTACTACTCAAGACTGAGAAAAAGGGTTTTTTGCTTTCCATTTGAACAAATAATACGATTATAATCGATATCAAGTAAAGTTATGATACTTCGAAAATTAAATCACAATTGGAAAAATATATGATCTAATTGATCATATGGGGGGATAATAATTGGTGTCTTTATAATGACGGCGTGGGAATGAAAAATAAAGTAATTAAAGGAGTTGATTAACACACCCAAACCGACACCATTAATCAAATCAAATTCCAGAGTGAGAAAGTGATATGTGTTTTATTTAATAATTGCAAACTGATTAATCATTGAGGGGTTACAAGAGTATGTGTTGTCGCCCGACCCCATCAAGGAAAGGAAAGAACACCACTTTGGAATCGACGGCCTTTTATTTGATGATCTTTCATTATTGCAATTATATATTGCACTTAGTGGCTCCCCAATTATATGTTTTTATTTATTTATTTATGATAACGTTCATTGCCTCGTTTTCATTGGTTTATGCTAACATTAACTTACATGCAATATCATTGCAATTTATATGATATCATTGTCATCACCACTTTGTTCTATTGCACGAGTAGCATATAACTACAGTGTTTAAGTGGTAGAAATCTCGACATATATGTTTGAGGCTTACTATTGTCACATATGAAGGGGAAAAAAACTCTTTTGATGGTGCTATTCCATTCTTTCATCAAACACATGCACAATAATTTTTATAAAGTAAATTTCATATGGAACAAAGATTATTGTACGTGTTGTTTTTCAATATGCCGATTGTAAAACCTCCAAAGTAATATACAAGATTCGACACGTGGCAGCGAACAACTAGTTGCTCACTTGATTATAATATAATTATGATACATGAGTATATGCAACGAATTTCATGAGATGCTCGTAAAACAAAAAAGTGAAATTATTTGATATGATGCCCATTCCACATGATTAGTAAACCTCCTCTTCGATAACATCGGATAAAATTGGAACGATACATAATTAGCAAATCATATATGAAAATAAAAAGGAAAATTTCTGAAACAATTTCTAATCAAATCAAGAAAACCACACTCAATACAAGTTACATATATCCATCCCTCACCCGCTATACATATGTACCATTAGATGTTGATAGTAATAATAACTAATAAACAACCACCTCGTTAATTAATTCCTAGCAACAATCAATCCTTTTTCGTAGCATGGGCCTGCCTACTTATTGCAATCGTGATGTTCTTGGTAGAGTGTCAAAATCATAATAAGTAATTAGAAGCTAGCTAGCTATCGCAACCATCTAAGCTTAATTAAGATGTAGGTCATATATGTATATTATTCACCTAAGTATGTTTCTTGCCATACTTGTAAACGCAAAGAAAGAAGGAAAACTAGAAGGGCTAAAGGTGGTCGGTTGAAGCTGTTAATGCAAGAAAGCTAAGCCCCTAGAGATCGAGGTTGCTTCATTGATATTGATTGATGCATCAATCAATTCATCCACATTCCAAGCTTATCCAAATAAGTCAGCTCTCAAAAATAGAAATTAAGTGGATTTGAAGTTTGTATATGTTTGGGTTAATTGTTAATGAAATATTCAAGGTTTTGATTGTCAAAATGTGTATGTCTCTCTTTCGTTTATAAAATACGACGTCGATATCCCAATAATTCATTCACATTAATGATCGAAGTATTGTTTATTGACTTACACGTCTTGCCCAATGTACATAACATAATGTCCTTGTGAAAACGTTAACTAATCTAAGAAGATACAATAACTTTGATTCGGTTTTGATGAAGGATTGAGAAATCAATACCGAAGATTATACGAAAAAGTTAATGATAAGGTATTTTGCATTAAACTCTATAGGGCATAATTATTCTATTGGTGTCCATGTCTTTGACACCACGTCGAGCAGTTTAGCCTACTGGTTGTATTTTGACAAGATCGGGGTTGAAACCCCTCTAGTTATTAATGCATAAAGGTTGGAGCGCCTTTAAGCATCCTTTTTCCGACCAAAAAAAATATTTCCGATCCAAGCGAAAGATAGGGTACAGTTTTTTAAACATTAGTTTTGATTTGTAACTATTAATTCAAATTAATTAATTAACCATAAAACTGTAAAGGCCAAACAGTCAATTGAACCAATTACATACATACAACTAAAAATTGTGGATCCGAACCTCCGATCTCTGAAAAGGGCTTTTACGCCGTTGTTGTTGCCCATTGCTCACATCTCGATGTTCTGCGGCCCGCAATCTAGCGAAACGTCCAACTTAAGCAAATGTAACAAAATTGGGCCTATTGGGCTACTTCCTACCTAGTCGTGATTACGAAGTACCAAGTATAGATCAGAGAGGAGTATAATGGGCCTTGTAGAGGAGTATAATGGGCCTCAAACACACATGGAAATCCAACTTTAGCGCTCTGAATTCAAAATGCTTCAATTCACATCATACATAGGAGTTAATTCGTACGAAATTGAGGACATGATCGTGATATATTTCTAATTTGTTCTTTACAAAACGAATAAACATATTATAAAATGGATTTTCTTATCTCGAACAGATTGGGTGTGCTACGATTTAAAGTGTGAAAAGCTATAAATAAGAAGCTGATAACACGTTCTAACGTTGTCCCAACTTTACGAACACACACATTAGGATATTATACCAAATATTGATGATTAAGGGTGAAAATCAGAAGTTATCATTTAGGGGTTACAAACTTTTCCATTTTCGATAATTAAGTGGTGCAAATTTGAAACATGAAATGGGGGAAAAAAAACAGAGAAGAGGCATAGATCCGAGCAATGTGGAAAGCGCAGCACTGAGCCAATAATTTTATATATACTTCAGATTGGGTCTTACCTTCCACACAAAAAACCCTAATTCATAATTTTCAAAACAAATAAACAATGAAGATATATCTATGGCCCTTTTGTGAACACTTCCATCTAACTATCCTCTTCCACATGCATTCTCCACTTTTTATTGACTAAAAGTTTATGGATCATGTTAAGTTAATAATAAATGATGTGATTAGGCTATTCATTATTGTTGAATGAGAACACATGGCAAGTTTTTTTTTTTTTTTTGTTTATTAGATTTTTCAAACCTTTGGGATGTCAAAATTTCTCCATTTTCTTGGTGAGGTTAAGTGTAACCATTGACAATAAAGCCACATATGGCACCTAGAGAGGAAGGAAGTCGGTTATTATTGTGAGATTAAAATTTGATTCAAAGTTTGATTTTTTGAGGTTATATAAGTCATCAAGTCTAGGGTTTAGTATACAGATTTGACCTTTGTCTCATTTGCTGTCTCAATCATCATTTTCTTTTTGCCTTACCTAATAACTAATACCCTACCACATAAACTTTCTTCCTCTTTTGTTCTTGTGTTGTTAATTTCCTCTTTGCTCAATGTAAAGTTTGACTAAGAACTTAATTGGGTTTTGAAGATATAACTTCGTTCTCCTTTAATCATTTTTATAATGGGTGTTCATAGATCGGTGGAATGAACCACGCTCAGTAGGCCATGACCATTTCAAGCTCATATTCACAACTTAATTCGAGATTGAGGAATATTACTGCACCATTTCTCTTTAATAAAGCATAGCAATTGGCTACGTATGAGTTTGTTGTTTACGATTTTTGTGATGAATAAGTTGATAATACCCCTTTCTCTATTTATTGTTAAGAAAATGACCATGAAATTCAAGATAACCTCACCAAAAGAAGAGCTAGAAAAGATTGAAAATAGTCAACACCAAATATAGTGGAGTAGACTCACCTTTTTTTTTTTTTTTAATCTAGAAGAGAAAACAACATGGAAAGATTGGATGCAAGAGATGTATTGTATGCTTTTGTTGGTAATCTCTTTATCCCTTATTTTCTTGCTTTTCCACTCCCTCATAATTTGGCCGTTGACTTCCCCCCATGTAACCTGGATAAAGGAACTAAAGATCAGTCCAAAGAATAGTTGGAAGACAAGGATTAAAAGGAAAAGTTGGGAAGAAAGGTTGCCGCATGTCAGGATGTTGTTGCTGTAGTGTTTCACTATGGTTTTGACTTCATGCATAGGATTATTGAGTTATGAGGGAGACAATACTATAAGCACGACATGTTGGGTAACCTAGTTACGTGGCTAAGTGAATTTTAGCTTTACATGTTTATTTAAATTTGATGGCGGATATTAATCTACTTTAATGAAAGGTGGTGTAGTAATTGCATGATTTTTTTAATTTTTACTTATTAAACAATTTAATAATTCCTCCGTTTACTTGTCCTTGCTAACATAAACCAGTTGGTCACAATAACTCGAGTTATTGGGAAAATGTTATGTTGGATCTTATAACCCTTTCTAACACGCCTCCTCAAACGAAAGTCAACCCATGGGCTTGAAGTTTGCACTTGTGCTTTAGTCAACTGTTAATATTGAGGGTCGTGGAGATTCGAACACACGATCACTTGGTCAAACCAGCTCTGATACCCTGTCATAAACCAATTGATCCCAATAACTCGAATTGTTAGGACTTGGGAGAAGGTTATGTTGGATCTTATAACACTCTCTAACACCTGCCACCGTCTTCGCCGGCAGGAACTTTGCCATGTCCCTTCCACCGGCGCTGCTTTCTGAGAGAGAGAGAGAGAGAGAGAGAGAGAGAGAGAGAGAGAGAGAGAGAGAGAGAGAGAGAGAGAGAGAGAGAGAGAGAGAGAGAGACGGTGGATTTCCAGCGATCGGCAACGAAGGATTTTCCGGCAGTAGTGCTGGATTCGTGATGTTTGTCGACCTATTTTGTAATATTTATAAGTACAGTTTGTAATGTTTATATCAATTCGGTTTGTATAGTTTATCATTCTAGTTTGTTATTTTTGTCTATTGTGTTTGTAATGTTTATATGATTAATTTGTATATATTTTGATTAATTATATTTGTTACTCTAGTTTGTACACTTTGTATTCATTGATTTCTAATAAAAAATTTATCGATTTGTATTGTAAATAGTGTTATTTTGTACTGTTAGTATGCTTTGTAATGTTTGTCAGTTTATTCTGTAATGTTTGTAAGCTTTTTTATTTTTATAATGTTTTTCGGTTTCTTTTGTAATGTTTGTAAGCTTTGTTATTTTTATGAACCATGTTTGTCA